TATACATGCTTTTACTACTACACGAGACCACCTCCGTGGTGTAGTGGTTAGAGCGTCAGCCCGGAGAGTGGAAGGTCGCGGGTTCGATCCCCGACCGCGTCATACCAAAAGACGTTAAAATATGGTACTTGTTGGTCCCTGCCTGGCGCTCGGCATTAATGGGTACAACAAGGACTGGTCGGCTCGGAGTCAGTATAATGTGTCTGAGTGGGGTATTCATGCTTCACTGCGGCATGGTATGTCAGTGGGCTAGCACTATAAAACCAGCTTCAGTCTGGGCTAGTACAAGCAGCCGCACATACACATACACACGCATGCACGTCGTCATATGAGCGAAATATTCTCAAGCACGACGTAAAACCCCATTTCACCTCACTTCACCTCACTACGACACGATTACCTCCCTTACATACTGAATTTCGCCACACACGGACTTTCCACAGTGAATGAATGTCATTTCTGTGTCTGGTCACGTAATCAAAATGATTCCTTGTGTGATCACCCGGCACCGTCTCCATGTGTTGAAACTTCAGGAAAGAACTGTCATGCTTTTCAGAGGTCAACAAAATCAACCCGTGAATATCCGGGTCAGAATTGGTCTTCAGCAACCCATGGTTGACACATGTCATCGGTTCCCAACTGCGTAGAACGATGCTCATGATCAGCACTGGATTGTCTGGTCCAGACTCGATTATGTACAGACCGCCGCCATATAGCTGGAATATTGCTGAGTGCGGCGTTAAGCAACCAACCTATAAATTCAAAATCGGATAATTATACAACAGATGTGAGTCACAAATGGACCCAAATTTACACACTATGAACAACAGTTTAAAACAAACAGGAATTCATTAACTTCCAATTCACATGCTCATTAAGTCCCACATACCCCATGAAAAATGCTGCTAATAGACCTCTCATCAGCAGTGTTGTGCCCAAATTAGCCGTACGGAGTTGCCTCCCTTAACCAAGCTCCCACGTCCGCTTGTCGCAACTGCCCGACAATCCCAATCTCCGGAGTGTCGGAGGGTTAACAGTGCAGCCGCTCTAATTATGTATGAATTATTTTCTAAGGATAAAGTTATGGAAACCTTAATCGAAACATGCATGAACGGACATATGGCGATTTCGACCTGTCGCATATGGATATTACAAGTGTTTCAAACCAAGGCTATCTAACATGATAGGACATTAATTAACTTGCAATCCTGGATATATGCAAGAGATAAATCTTTCAAAGGTTCCATTGAAACTGAGTATAATTGTGGAAAATGACAGTTCATATTTTGTAGTATGTTGATAGTCTTTGGGTGCCCTTAAGTTTTCAGTCACTATTTACCGGTTAAATCAGGCCATTTGAAGGAGAGAAGAAACAACTCATTCACAAACACTGTTACATTAACTCCAACACTTACAAAATGAATTTAAATTCATTAAGATTAGATTAGAAGAAAACTAAACATCAGAAAAAACATAAAAGTTATGTAACATAATCATGATAAAGTTTAAACCTGGTAAGAATATTTCATGATGGTATGCATAAATCCTCAGTTGTGTTTTAGACCTGACCCGACGGCTCGACAAACATGTAATAACCCTGTAATACTGCTTTCACCTGCATAACATTATTTGCATAGTCAGTACTTGAATTGTCCTCTAATGTCACTGTTGGCGACCCCTGAGTGCTAAGTATGCAAATCTCAGTTCAGTTTCCTCATACCAAGAGTGAGTGAGTGAGTTTAGTTTTACGCCGCACTCAGCAATATTACAGCTTTATGGCGGCGGTCTGTAAATAATCGAGCCTGGACCAGACAATCCAGTGATCAACAGCATGAGCATCGATCTGTGCCTTGGGGACTGATGACATGTGTCAACCAAGTCAGCGAGTCTGACCACCCGATCCCGTTAGTCGCCTCTTACGACAAACATGGGTTACTGAAGGTTCTCTCTAACCCGGACCTTCACGGGTCCATACCAAGAATGTACATTAGGATGTATATACATACTTCATCCGTTGCTGCATATCCCCTATTCTCTTTAAAGCGGAATTGAAACAATTTTGCACAATCTGGCAGCCTTTTCGTTACATCCTGGTTGTTGGATAATTTGGATATGTCTGAAAATGGATGCTTAAACAGACTATAATGAAATGTTCCCTTCTCGCCGTAATATAAGTGCTACATTGACTAGGGAACAGTGGTATGGTTTGTGGTGACTGTATTGTCAGCCAGTGTCTTATCACCAGAAATCACAGTCGGTGTTGTACGTAAAATTATTAATATATATACGGTAAATGACTCTGCTTAACGCTGCAACACCGAAAGTCAAATGTCACTCACTGCATATGTGGTACGTGTCATGACAACAAAACTGTAAACCACCTGACATGTGGTACGTGCCATGGGTGTGGTTAACACTGCAATACTTGAAGTGAATCGGAACAACATATGTAGTACGTGTCATGGACATATGTAGTACGTGTCATGGGTGTGGTTAACACTGAAACACCCGAAGCCAAGTGGCCCAACATATGTGGTACGTGTCATGGTGTGGTCAACACTGTAACACCCGAAGCCAAGTGGCCCAATATATGTGGTACGTGTCATGGTGTGGTCAACACTGTAACACCCGAAGCCAAGTGGCCCAACATATGTGGTACGTGTCATGGTGTGGTCAACACTGTAACACACGAACCCAAGTGGCCCAACATATGTGGTACGTGTCATGGTGTGGTCAACACTGTAACACCCGAAGCCAAGTGGCCCAACATATGTGGTACGTGTCATGGTGTGGTTAACACTGAAACACCCGAAGCCAAGTGGCCCAACATATGTGGTACGTGTCATGGTGTGGTCAACACTGTAACACCCGAAGCCAAGTGGCCCAATATATGTGGTACGTGTCATGGTGTGGTCAACACTGTAACACCCGAAGCCAAGTGGCCCAACATATGTGGTACGTGTCATGGTGTGGTCAACACTGTAACACCCGAAGCCAAGTGGCCCAACATATGTGGTACGTGTCATGGTGTGGTCAACACTGTAACACACGAACCCAAGTGGCCCAACATATGTGGTACGTGTCATGGTGTGGTCAACACTGTAACACCCGAAGCCAAGTGGCCCAACATATGTGGTACGTGTCATGGTGTGGTCAACACTGTAACACCCGAAGCCAAGTGGCCCAATATATGTGGTACGTGTCATGGGTGTGGTCAACACTGTAATACCCGAAGCCAAGTGGCCCAATATATGTGGTACGTGTCATGGGTGAGGTCAACACTGTAACACCCGAAGCCAAGTGGCCCAATATATGTGGTACGTGTCATGGGTGTGGTCAACACTGTAACACCCGAAGCCAAGTGGCCCAATATATGTGGTACGTGTCATGGGTGTGGTTAACACTGTAACACCCGAAGCCAAGTGGCCCAATATATGTGGTACGTGTCATGGTGTGGTCAACACTGTAACACCCGAAGCCAAGTGGCCCAATATATGTGGTACGTGTCATGGGTGTGTGCAACACTGTAACACCCGAAGCCAAGTGGCCCAATATATGTAGTACGTGTCATGGTGTGGTTAACACTGTAACACCCGAAGCCAAGTGGCCCAACATATGTGGTACGTGTCATGGGTGTGGTCAACACTGCAACACTCCCAGTCACATGTCACTGACAGCATATGTGATACGTGTCATGGGTGTGATCAACAAGGCAACACTGGAAGCCACGTGGCACTACATATGAGGTACGTGCCATGACTGGTTGACACTGCCACACTCGGAGCAACGTGGAACAACATATGTGGTACGTGTCATGGGTGTGGTTGACACTACAACACTCGGAGCCACGTGGCAACATATATGTGGTTCGTGTCATGACCGTTTGACACTGCAACACACCAAGCCCAGTGGCCCAATATATGTGGTACGTGTCATGGGTGTGTGCAACACTGTAACACCCGAAGCCAAGTGGCCCAATATATGTAGTACGTGTCATGGTGTGGTTAACACTGTAACACCCGAAGCCAAGTGGCCCAACATATGTGGTACGTGTCATGGGTGTGGTCAACACTGCAACACTCCCAGTCACATGTCACTGACAGCATATGTGATACGTGTCATGGGTGTGATCAACAAGGCAACACTGGAAGCCACGTGGCACTACATATGAGGTACGTGCCATGACTGGTTGACACTGCCACACTCGGAGCAACGTGGAACAACATATGTGGTACGTGTCATGGGTGTGGTTGACACTACAACACTCGGAGCCACGTGGCAACATATATGTGGTTCGTGTCATGACCGTTTGACACTGCAACACACCAAGCCCAGTGGCCCAACATATGTGGTACGTGTCATGACTGGTTGACACTGCCACACTCGGAGCCACGTGGAACAACATATGTGGTACGTATCATGGGTGTGGTTGACACTGCCACAATGGAAGCCACGTGGCACTACATATGAGGTACGTGTCATGGGTGTGGTTGACACTACATCACTCGGAGCCACGTGGCAACATATATGTGGTTCGTGTCATGACTGGTTGACACTGCAACACTCGAAACCACGTGGCACTACATATGAGGTACGTGTCATGACTGGTCGACAATGCCACACTCGAAGCCAAGTGGCCGAACATATGTGGTACGTGTCATGGGTGTGGTTAACACTGCAACACTCGAAGCCACGTGGCACTGCATATGAGGTACGTGTCATGACTGGTCGGCACTGCCACACTCGAAGCCACATGGATGGTAACAGGTACCTTCTGGCTCAATAAGGGATGAAAGAACGTCTCCGGGGGATTGTGATTTTGATACTAAACACTAAAGATTGCTCTTCTGATTACGCAATGCAAACATGATCTAGGCAGGTGATTTGCTCATCAAAGTTGTGAGTGAGTTTAAATTGTATGTCACATAAACAGTATTTCAGCCATATCGTGACTAAATCAAGTTACAGTTTTATAGTAATTGAAAAGACAGTAAAACAACTAGATTATCACAGATATAAATTAAAAAACTACTTATCAAATCAAAAACATATAGAGGACAATACATCATAGGAAACAGGCTATAGATTGCCAACAACTGAAGGTAGATCACCACCTAGGGACCATGGTGACTTACAGTACATTTGCTTCCTGCATGGACCCGAGCTGGATTTACACTGTCCCTTCAGATGTTAGCAATTTCCATCACATTTTAATTCAGCCATGGTTTAATGCAAGACAAATTATAATATTAACTTCACATCAGATTACAAATGCACTGTGAAGGTGGGTATTCACATAACAGGCTAATAACATGACGCATGTACATCTTTAATACAAACACTTGGTTTTGTTGTCCAGTCAGCAGTATTGTCTTACTCATCTTCATCCTGTACCTGGGTGGGATGGTTCCTGGGAATCTGGTTCTATCGTCCAGTAAACAGCATTGGCTTGCTCATCTTCGGCCTTTACTTGAGTGGGATGGTTCGTGGAACTTGGTTCTATGGTCCAGTAGACGGGATTGGCTTGCTCATCTTTATCCTTCAGCTGAGGGGTGGAGTCCCCGGTTGCGTTGTTAGAAGTCCAGTAAACCGGATTGTCTTGCATCTCTGTGAACAGTTAATTGATCTTTTTATTACAGTCTCTGAGGTGAGTATTAATCAGTTAGTGGCTGCTCGTCAAACAAAATATACAAATGAAGTTGACAGTTCACATTATCATGTTACCATTGTGACCTCCTTTTAGACTTTCCTTGCCACCCGTGAAGGTCCGGGTTAGAATGAACCTTCAGTAACCCTTGCTTAACGTGATCGGGTGTTTAGGCTTGCTGGCTTGGTTGACATGTCATCGGTTCCCAATTGAGCAGATCGATGCTTATGCTGTTCATCACTGGATTGTCTGGTCCACACTCGATTATTTACAGACCGCCGCCATATAGCTGTAATATTGCTGAGTGCGGCGTAAAACTAAACTCACTCACTCCATTTCCTGCCCTTGAGCGCTTGCTCTCCTCGTCCAACTGTAATGACACGTGAGGCCGCCAGTTTCTAGAAGAATCCCTTCCTGTAATCTTCGGGATGATTTGCAACAAAAAATTATGCAGGAACCCAGGAAATATGTGCTACTCTACATTTACTCCAAAAACTGATAATGTATTTGCCTCTGGATATGAATGCCAATGCGACTTTGGGTGTGACAAATCAGCTCCAAATGTTGACAAAATAATACGTTTTCTACTAAGCAGTTATCTCGAAATCATGGAAAAATACCCTATTGATTTAACATATGCCCAATGAACGATTCCTGTTTTTCGGTCCTGACCAATCGTTTCTGCAGTTGCCAGGAAGCGAAAGGTAACTTGGATGTTGTCATGTCAAGCACATTTTCGGCTCGGGAACCCTGGTCAGGCTGGAGACAACCTTATGACATGTCCAGCTTGCTTATTGTCAGCACACACAAACACCCCTTCTTACCAGCTTTAACAAATGGTACGGTATCTTCTGATTTTGAGGAACTGCTTTCGGCTGCTTCCATGGACGTCCAGTAAGCAGGGTTTTCTTCCATCTCTGTAAAGACAACGTAATGTGAAGGCACAGTTAAAGACACAGGTAGCACAGGTGGACTGGTGTTTATGTGGGTGTGAACTTTATCTACAAACACCCCTTCCCCACCTACCCACCCAAAAAAAAATCACACAAAAATAAATATTGCTATATGTCGTTTCGTATCATTTTCGTTCAATAAGTTTGTTTTGCAGCCAAGACCAAAGAGCTCGGTGTGAGACAGGGGTATACTACACAAAAATTTGTACGCCACTTTCCTAATCATTCTGTTCTTGTTGGCCTTGCATTCTGTTGTCTGTTCACTACATAATAGCAATGCCTCAGCCTACTTTACTACATGTACCTTTGTAATAATAAACATTGTATTATTTACCAAGTATGTCTTCCTGTGAATCAGTTCCTTTTCTGAAAAAGAAATAGTCAACCGTCATAAGTTAAACACTGATAATTCATAAATGAATGTCGGAATATGCTGAGGTCGATTTTCTTTCACGAAGAATTATAAATCATTAAATAATCAAAATATTTACCTTCCTTCAACACTTGCCAAGAGTCCAATTATCTTTTTGAGGAAAATTACTTTGTCAGTTTGCAGAGTCTAAATTCATCATAATCCTTTCAACCGGTGGTGAAATGGAGTACTCAGTGTGTTGCCAGTACAAACATATCATGGAAAGTTCTACATTTTGGGGGTTACTTTGAAGTGAGGAATTTTACAAAAGAAACACTTACTTTCGTAGGGATCCGTTTGATAGGTTTCCTACAATATGACGAAAAAACAAATAGTTCACTAAAGAGCTAAAAGAAATAACGAATTATCCCTCGCCGGGGCAGGTTTGGTATCAAGCATCCAATGCGTGTGCGTATAGCAAGTTGAACGTAAAATATTGAAGACAGATTACACAAACTCTATTGATGATTGAATGTCAGCTACGAGTATATTCGATTTTCTACAGGCTGCTATCAATAAACTCTAGCGCAAAGAACCGCAGGATAAAATCAAGGAATGGTTTACAAATACCGTAAATAAGATATGAGTCTAGTCTAGCGGATTCTGGAACATCTTCTAGGTATTAGTATATTACATCGACATGTGAGTATATAGGTGTCTATGGCCCTGCATAAGCTGTTCCTCTGACTGACCAGTCCTGCCTCCTATTCCGCAAGGATCTATGGTTTACATACGACACTCTTACTCAAAATGGTCAAATGGAAATACCATCAGCTGCGAGAGATGGCCATAAGACAGATAGATCTGAATACTAGTATGTCTAATGGAAATACCATCAGCTGCGAGAGATGGCCACAAGACAGATAGATCTGAATACTGGTTTGTCAAATGGAAATACCATCAGCTGCGAGAGATGGCCATAAGACAGATAGATCTGAATACTAGTATGTCAGTTGGAAATACCATCAGCTGCGAGAGATGGCCATAAGACAGATAGATCTGAATACTAGTTTGTCAAATGGAAATACCATCAGCTGCGAGAGATGGCCATAAGACAGATAGATCTGAATACTAGTTTGTCAAATGGAAATACCATCAGCTGCGAGAGATGGCCATAAGACAGATAGATCTGAATACTAGTTTGTCAAATGGAAATACCATCAGCTGCGAGAGATGGCCATAAGACAGATAGATCTGAATACTAGTTTGTCAAATGGAAATACCATCAGCTGCGAGAGATGGCCATAAGACAGATAGATCTGAATACTAGTCTGTCAAATGGAAATACCATCAGCTGCGAGAAATGGCCATAAGACAGATAGATCTGAATTTTGGGTTCGGAGAAAAATGTTGATTTCAACATATTCATATACTAGTATGTCAAACTGTGTTGGAAATATGGTACCATGATTCATCTTAAAATGTCGACAAATGCACCTCGCCATCGTTAATGGTGTTTGGCACACATGTCATGGCGCTTTTATATACATTCTTCGTTTGTCCTGGTCAGAGACCATGAAACTGGGTTTGCCGTTAGGCGCCTTTGGATGGATCTGATGATACAGGACCATGGTGACGTTGAACCGGTACACTTCCTCTGGGCGCTGCATCTCTCTGGGCGCTGCATCTCTCTGGGGAAGCAGCTGCTCACTCTGCTATATTGCAGACAAGATGATGATGTACTGATAATGTATTTGCCTCTGGATATGAATGCCAATGCGACTTTGGGTGTAACAAATCAGCTCCAAATGTTGACAAAATAATACGTTTTCTACTAAGCAGTTGTCTTAAAATCATGGAAAAATACCCTACTGATTTATAATAAGCCCAATGAACGATTCCTGTTCAACGGGACTGCCCAATCGTTTCTGCAGTTGCCAGGAAGCGAAAGGTAACTTGGATGTTGTCACGTCAAGTACATTTTCGTTCATTTGAGTGTCAAATCCCTCTTTTGAATCAGCGTTAGTAGTGGCAAACTGTATCATTCACTGATAGGATGTTCGTCTTAAAGAATGAAGTCATTCGTTGAAAAGTTTATATTTTAAACATAGCCGAAAGGGCAGTTTTGTTTCGTCCACAGAAAATGTCGGTTATAGCACAGTAAAAAGTTGGAATAGAACCCGGGTCTTTGGCATGACGAGCCAACGCTTTAACCACAAGGCTATCCCTATGCCCATCATTTGATCAGGAACATTTAACTTTGTTACGTATACATTACCTGTAATTATTTCCCATCAGTTTGGATTTATTATTTTTCGTTTGAGTATATATACGTGGTGTGCTAATTTTGGGGTCAATATCTTCAATTATACATTTAAAAAGACTTTACGTTTGGATACGTATGTGGTTTCCTGTACTATGACTCAAATGGCCTAACCCATATGTATTTCAAAAGAATTTGAAGTGATCGTCCAAACTCTCTCACAACCTTGTAACATAGGTTTTGCGCTTTTACATAGAAACACAGAAATAAAGACATAGCAATGACATGCAATAGCAAAAACGCAAAATCCCATTTATACAGGAGAAGTAATAAACAACTAAACATGTGTCCTGTTGTTTTGTTTCCCGAAATATTGCAATAATGTTACAACAGGGAGTAAATCGAACATGGTGGTCCATGACTAGTACCCACCCAACAACCCATTACTGACCTCCCAAAAATATTTACTCCAAATATTTACTTTTTCTTGATGTTCGGGTTCTCCACGCCAGGAAGACGCATAGCGCTAACGTCACAGCTCCTCCTAGTGTGCTGGGCAATATGATGTACAGCCGTGTACCTCCGCCATACGTCTCCTCTCCTGTCGTCTCTGTATGGTCTTCCACAGATGTATCTGTCTGCTCTCTGGAGGAACTGGAGGAGTGACTCGGGGGAGCTGTTGGGTGTCCATTGGTCACTGATGTAGATGTAGTTGCTGGGGGTTCTGTTGTTGGTTCAGGTGTTGATGGTGGTTCTGTTGTTGTTGTTGTTGTTGTTGTTGTTGTTGAAGTTGACATTGAACTAGAAACTGAGGTCGAATATGATTATGGGCCAGTGTATTCGTACTGGTTTGCAAGAGCCTTTGATATATTTTGTGACAGAAAGCCATAATCGAGGTGAGCGTTGCTGTGAGGCTCATTGCTAATGCTTGTTGATAATTGTTACAATTAAATAACGTGTTGGCCTAATGGCAAATTACATATCACAGGCACATCATGGTGTATTCACCTACGTACAGTGGCACGCGCAGACACACACATGTCCCTCCCATTCAGTATACCTGATTGTACTTCCAACGTAATGCTTCGGTGTCCAAAGTCCTTGGGACTACACGTCCATTCTTTAGAATCGGTCTTGAGTACACCCTGTATCATAATGGTGGACGATGTTCTGTTACAGTGAAAATATATTTTTCCGCCGTTGTTATCAAACTGTCCCTGTAAGACGGTGCAATTTTTTGTCGTGTCATTGAAGCTTGTGGTCCCAATGTTGCCACCCTTGGACCAACGCACTGGCGGGAGATCGCGACCGTCTCTAGAGTAGCAGGTGAGGGAGACGTCCGTACCCTCTGTCACAGCAAGTGTGTTGGTTTGGTCGGTAGACGGAAGGGATTTCATCAATACTGCAGTATAAACAGGGAGTAAATCGAAGAGAGTGAGTGAGTTAAAACAATTCGTCACATAGGTAGTATTTCGGCTATACCGTGACTGGAAACCTTTCATATACATCATAAATACATGTTGCTATTTTATAAAACCAGTCATGAAAGGACATAAAATAACTAGACTAAAACACATGTTCTTAAAAATTAGCACGTACTCATAAAATTACATCACCATATTTAACAATACAATATAAAAACGGGCTATAGCAAACAAATGGAGATCACCTCACTAGGGACCATGGGGTCTTACAGTACCTTTGCTGCCTGCATTGACCCCATCAGCCCTCCAGCATCTGGCGATCATCAGCAAATTTAAACAACAAAAATCCTACGATTATAAACCCTCGCAATGATAAACAGAACTTAAGTCTTACGTACTCTGTCCTGAGGACAGTTATTTTACACTACTTCAACCCCGAAGAATGAGGACTATTTTATGAACCTGCTTGACAACGACATTAGAATCTATGTCGAAACGTCGCCTATACAGAATAAAAAGTTGGATGTTCATAAAAATAGTCCTCATTCTTCATGTGCCCAACTTCTAGAATGCCAGTCAAAGAAGACATACTTCAACCCCCTTTGAGGGGACAGCCAATATCCATCACAGTTATTCATTCATTTGACCTAATTTAAAATCAAATTATTTTATTACAGTACACGATCCAAATTTATCAAATAAATCAATTTCTATCAAAACTCCAAGTACTAAATGAGATATCAGTGAAAGATCCTTCATAGATCATGATGATACGCAATTTTGATACCTTGTAATGGAAACATCTATAGTCACGCAGGACATGCAAGGCCACGATTCGTTCATCACAAGAGACACGTAATAGACGATCCTCACCTTTCAATACTAATACATTTGTAATTCTCGAATGAACAGTATCCTTTTTAACTAATCAAATCTGGACGGACAAACCAAACTGGTGTAACCGATAATTGATCCATGTAATACATTTATAGCTACTTGGGTGTCAGGCTCGATTCCTTACATGGGTGCGGTGTGGTACCTGCTCCTATTCATAACAAAAGTAAATGTGCCATTTTGTCATTTGTTTTTATTAACAGAATGAAACAAAATTCTAATGAACCAAAGTTCCATTCCTCCAGTTATAGTGTGTCATTTACTGAAGGCTCATTGGGGTGTTTTGACAGTCAGGGCGGTCGGGTAGCCTTGTGGCGTTGGCTTGTCACGCCGAAGACCCTGGTTCGAATCCCCACTGTGGTACATTTCTGGTGTGCCCCGCCGTAATATTGCGGGAATACAAATACTTACTCACTCACTCACTACTTGGGTGTGACACGTCATTAGATCACGGATGCAAGGTCTTACCAGAGTATGGGATGAAAAGTGATGTCAGAGATTCGTTGCGTGCTGCCTTTGCAGTATCACCAGTCATTGTTTTACCAATGATTCCCAAGAAGCTCGGTAGCCAACAATAACGACGTTGTATTGTCCAGCAGCAAGATCATTATATAATTCACTTGTTCAGCAGTCTTCCAGCTATATGGCGTCGGTCTGTAAATAATCGAGTCTGAGCCAGACAATCCAGTGATCAATAGCATGAGCAGTTTGGATACGATGACATGTATCAACCAAGTCTGCGAGCCCGACCACCCGATCCCGTTAGTCGCATTTTACTATTTCTTCGGAGTGTTTATTGGGGATTTACCCCTTGCCTTTCTTGAGGGTGACAAGCTATAGATTTATTCGGACACACCCATGTCCTCTAATGATTATTGAAAAGTATTTTGTTGTTAGAACCTCTTGCGACACTTTTGTGAAGATTCACATCTCTATTTTATCTTGTTTTTAGCGTTTTCTTTCATGTTTGTTAGAGATTCGGGTTTTGATGTTCACATTGATTATTTCGCCTTGGATAAAGATGCTGAACACAGGTTGGTTCTAGAACTACAGTCTGAGTGAATGTTTTCGTTGACAAAACATGAGGAGAATCAGTTCTTGCCCATGTCAAGTTGGTTTGACTGTTTGTAGATGATTGGGACACATTAGTGAGTGAGTGAGTTTAGTTTTACGCCGCACTCAGCAATATTCCAGCTATATGGCGGCGGTCTGTTAATAATCGAGTCCGGTCCAGACAATCCAGTGATCAATAGGTGTTTGTCGAAGTGGTGTGTGGGACAAAGAAAAACTGTTCCTGGAACCGGTGCCCTCAACCCACCAGATTCCCGTAATCCACCGACTCGGGGGGCGCAATCCGCAGCATCAGGTTGTCCAGTTTGTCAGCATTGGGGTGCTGTGGATCCTGTAGTGAACATTCCCCATCCCACAATTCTGATTGGCATTGGATGCCCCAGGCAATGTCTGGGCTCTCATGGAGGCAATACAGGAAATTGGCAACAGATGACATTTACCTTGACATTCGATTGTTTCATTGTGAACTTCGGTGACAACAACGAATGCCTAATTTAAACAATTTATTACGATATGTGGATTATTTATATAATACGTAAAGTATACATTTGAAACCACTTCTGCGTTTGTGTTGTTGTTTTGGGGTCTCTTTTGCATATATAACAATGTATATTTAACAATGACTGAGCTGTTCATTCGTGACTAGTCGTTTGTTTCTCAATTGGCTGTCATCCATAATATGACAGTTAGGTATTTCAGCATTGACAGAATGTGAACAGATAAGGGTTCATAAGAATTTGAAAACTGGAACATTTGGTATCATGTTTACCCAGTCAATTTTCCTTTTTGCAAGTCTGACAAACGAATATAGTGCGAGAACTTCGGTCTCCGTCTTTGGTCTGTGCAATGTAACAGAGTTGTACAGCATGCAGTGTTCCCCCACATGTCACATTACAGATGACTGATGCTGACGAAAAGGAAACTTTGTATTATAGACGAAGCAATTACCGTGCAACGAAATAATTGTATTTGACGTCTAATTGTAAACTCTCAGAGACCAAAATACTACCCTACAATCACTGTATGTACTGTTCAGACATGAGATATGTATAGTATGGTTGTTGTAAGGGGGGGTGGGGGAGGGGGGTTGAGGCTCATATCCGCCATTTTCTTTTTATGACGTAACATAGGTGTGACCTTTGTGTGACCCATCCTCCTTCGGGAGTCCCCTTTCCGGTCAAGGTGTGTGTGTGTGTGACCTTCAGGTTCACCCTAGTGGTCTGTGATTATTATTTTATGAGTTTGCCGTCTCGAGTGTTCACACAGCAAACCTTAGACTAATGCTTAGACTCTGAATATATATATAATTTTGATAGTAACAAACAAGCCCATTTAAATTGAAAAGGAGCCCTAAGGACACCAGAGATTCAGAACCTGAGGAAATCTAGACTTGCTTTATTTAGGGCTCTCACACTGCAGAGAGGGCATGGCAGTAGGGAAAATAATGTGGTTCAGGGACTGGAAGACAGACTAAGCAAACGTGTTCAACGTAGAATTAATATCACACTATGAGGGGGAATTAAGCTGCTATTTATTAGGTCAAAATATCAGAGCGCAATCACTAGCCAGTTTAAAATACGCTGTCACACAAGGAACAAGTCTTAATCTTTCGATATCTGTCAACAATAAACGGTCGTAGCTGTTAAATTTCATGTGGGCCCGTATATGATTATTGCGTGAATGGGGCGCTGTCTATGCACTACTGTCAGTACTACTACTAACAGCAGAATCACTTGCTCGCTGAGCCGTAACTGAAGAGACATGTGACAGCCGTGATTGGATGAAATAGTGTAAGGTGTTATGTTTGTTAAAAGCACCAGCATCCAGTCATTAAAACTGACAACCATTTTAAGTATGTAATGCTGTCATTTGTATCTCTTATGCTTATGCGAGTACAGATATGTTCAAGTAGGTGGCAGTTGGTGCGGACCTTGGAGGGTTGATGTGTTTAGCTTCCTGTGTGTGACTTCCTGTGCTCGCAAAGTTAGCCGGTTCAAGTTCACCAGAAATTGTTTGTGAAAATTGTCGTATTTTGCCTCATTTGACATTTGTTTATCATATAACATGGCGGCCATCTTAGATTTCCTTCAGCAAACGATATGTTTTCTATCCTATTACATCATCCAGTCTACAGATGTTATGATGAAGGTCAAATATGGGGACTAATTTTGATTCTGTCATGTTTTGATATCAAAATGCAAGAAATATTATCAAAACTCGTTTTGGAGAAAACTTGGGACCATCTTGGATTTGGGAAGCAAGGATTTGGGAAGCAATCATATTTGCCACATAGCATTAACAATATCTTAATTTACAGATTGAGACACGAACACGTTTAATTCACAGAGACATTCTTTTGTAGGAGCTGGAACAAAAATAGTGTAATGTAAATGGCAGCCATCTTTGTATTTTGAGTGGCCAATGTTATTTTCTCAGTAAGCGTACCAAAGTGAACATGTATGCTAAGTTTATTGCTTGTATCTGCCCTACTACTGGTGCAAGAGGACACGTCCATAGAAAGATGAGGATTTCTTTAGCTGTACTATTGCCGAAACACTCCTTGAACGTTTTATATGAAACTGACATGTTTTTGTTTTTTATGAAACATAAAGATAGATTATCTGTATTCACCACGTCCAACTAAATTTAGTTGTTATATGATTGCCCCTCAAATAGTAGATTATGTTGCCCTGGCATCCATTTGCTCCCAGGGACGAGATACATACCTTCTTGTATACTGATAAACAGTAGGGGATATTCAATCAATATGTGTCTATTGATATTCTATAACTTGAACAGTGTAACTGGGACATCGGAATGAGAATTGCTTTAGATTTTGGTAAAGGTTTCATCAAAGCGCCGCACGATCCATCAGGTTAAAACACATTAACTGATGTTAAAACAATATCAGATCAACGTTCAGCATACATTTATCACTGAAAAGTACAGTACCAAACTGACACGTTTCACTGTATATTTCGAATTTTATCCAGACCATTTTCACGTGTACATAATGAAAACGTTTGCACGAAATTGGCGTTTTTGCACAAAATTCGATGGAATAATCATTTTGAAAATCCACATACAATCATGCATCTTGATGCATCCCAAATAATGTCACCTCAAAATGGAATAGCGACATTTCAGTCATGATATTGACAGACAACAAATAGCAAGTACGTGGTTACCGGGGAAATGAGTGAAGTGGGGTATTACTTCCTTGTTTCTGTGACGGGTTAACTTCTTCCCTCTGCTTGAAATTACGCAATAGTCTGAGATATTATTCACAAATAAAGTATGAACGATGTTGTATGATGGGGCATTATGTATAACAAACACCTTGAAAATATATTTAAGAAAAAATGTTCCTCTTTGTTTCAATCGATAACATTTTATGTGAAATAATGTATCTGAGAACGACTGTGAATATTTTAACATATTCTACCATGATATCCGGATACAAATGATGGCTCAACAACAGCTGTAGTACATTTTTATAATTTGCATCCCAATTATTTTCCAGTTTCTAGATCCGTAAGCACAATACCAGAGCCCTTTAGTTGCGTGTAAGTGATATTGTTTTGTATAATTATTGCTTGGGATATCTGCTGTACTTGGAGTTGGCAGGCCCTGATATAACAGGGAAAACTTTCCAAGTGAAGAGAAACACACCCACTCTTGTCATTTGTTGTGCTGAACCAAAACAGTACTCATTAATTCCGGTTTCATACAGGGTGGTTTCCGGATTTCATTAAAACTGTATGTGTTTTTCTAAAATCAACTGGTTTCATGGGGATTACAAAACTATTTGAAATATAATTATCACTTTTCAACCGATTGTCTGTACCTGTGGCACATGTATGACCAGGAACTTGACGACAAGGACAAAGTGAAACGCAAGACATGACCTCAATATTTGTTTAGCTATATCTCCATTACAAATAAATATAAAAATATATCTACTTACACTTATCCCCAGCGACTGCACCATTAATTACACTGATAAGGGCGAAGTGGAACCATTTCACCCGAGTACCCATACTGCGTCAAGATCGTCAAAGCGTTAGTGACGGACAGGCTGTGGTGTAACGTCCGGGTGTTAGTCAATTTTCGTGGCGTACATTAGAACGAAAGTCGTGACAGTGAATATAGGTTTCCATAGCAATACTGTAACCGGGGGTGTTCAGTCATGACACACAGGTCGGGTTTTAAGTTTAAAGGATTTATTGGCGGAGTATACGTCAGAACAAACGCCCTGAAACATATACACATCAATGAGTACATAGATATGTACACACATGCATATGTAAAGATACATTACAATCACAATCATAATCACAATTAATATTTATATTCATATATATTCACACATTCAATCAAGCGGATGACGTGGTATAATGTAGTCAACTCATACATTTATCAAATACATTCAAGGATACACTACACTGACTATGAATACATATGATATACATAAAGACTAGCTTTTATAAATACACAACAATATTTATAAGCGTACCCTGTGGTTAGTACTGGGGCGCGGACTTACTGCACCAGTTGATTATAGCAACTGCATCTAAATACAAATAAATATACAAATATAAATACTATGGAAAGACTGGGTAACATATCATGTATGACCCACACCATACCTGTGAACACTTCAAATCATACATACATAGTTATAGACAAACACATAAATGATAAATAATACTCGTTCACTCATTCTCAAGGGTAGAAATAGGAAAGTGAAAAGCTGATGTTTAGGTGAATTAAACTGTGTATAGACTTACTGTTTTAGTTAAATTACATTTTTTGGTTATACCTATATTGATTATATAGATAATATTAAAACATGATTTTACTATAACTGCTTAAGCACTATATACAAGTACATAATGGTAAAATACAAAATGCATAACTGACCTGTAATAATGTCTGTTCAGTCCCAGTCTACAGTGGTTGTGTGCTGTGCTGGTGAAGTGCTCAACATTAGTATTTTAAACAAGGCCAATCAGGCGTAAGCTATCTTAAACAAAGGAGTGACCCAAGCTATGCACTCTAACCCCACAGCTATCCAAAGGCAGTTAAATAATATTAAAGGTGAATTAAAGACAAGTCAACGAGGAGCTAAATAGAAAGGAAGTTTATTTTATTCTGTACTTCACAGTACAAATTAGTACATTATTTCATTACAACAGTGAATATATACAAATATGTAAAATACAGATATATACATATGCAACACTGCCACAATACTTATCAGAAAACTCACATTAAATATTTCCTTATGAAAATTTGCATCCTGGCTGATCTGGACTTAGTGTGACATTTTGCCCGCGCTCCTTTCCGATAGATGGTCAGTACACCCATGCTCTGCATACCGGACTTTAATGCCAAAGTAATGAAATGTAATGTGCACTTTACACACATATTTCCTCTCTCTCTCTCTCTCGAACCCGCGACCTTCCACTCTCCGGGCGGACGCTCTAACCACTACACCACGGAATGTGATTGTAAAGCTGATATAAGATTTATTCATGTTTAAATATTCACCATTTATTACGACACGAACTATCTGCTACAAGTAGAGTGAATTGTACTCATGACCGTCTGTCTATGAATCACAGTGAAAATAGTGACAATAGCGGGATTTGCCAAAACGTAATGTACAAATAAACAACATCCTGAAGTCAAGAAACAAAAGGCAGCTCCCACAGTTACTGTCAATTCACCGGAATAGGAACACATGATAAAATACCTAACTTCTCTTAACTGTCCTCCAATTCATGTTTCTTGTCGGTCTTCACAATGCATAATGAGATCATTTATATTATAAGTTGTATGCTTCTCTCGAGGGTAATACGGTCTGATGTACGCCTCTTTGTAGCAGTGCCACTCGCGCCGGTAGACGAGGGATGATACTGCTACAAAAAGGCGTACATCAGACCGTATTATCCGATGGAGAAATTTAAAACGGATTTATCTTACCGCCCTGTTAAATGTACAAAATATGATTTGATTTGATTTTGAAGATCGATAAGCTCGCTGCTATATGACATGGAAACAAAATGGCGACAGTGAATCAGTGAAACATATTCACAGAAGCTTAAAACTGCAATATAAATGGTTTATTATTTTTAAGTTGGGTGTGCAAACGATTCAATGTATAAAATAGTTTAAATAAAGCAGTGAAAGTCGGGTAAAATAAATGTGTACACAGTGAACTCAATTTTTTTTTATTGGAACGGTTTTCGAACTCCGTGCACTGCGCCCGGCATATTATGACGTCATACTATTGTTATCGATAAAGCTTCTGGCCGTTACCGTTGCAGGTCTTAATATTTTTTTCCTGTTCGGTTCAACAGATCACTTTGATCCAATATTTGACTTACGATATCAAAGTTTCTATGGCGCATTTCGTTATAGATTTGAATTATGCTTTGGAAATATATATATAGTCAAAGGAAAATTTTAAGTATCTAGAAGCACTAATATTAGATTTACAGTATAAAATATATGTGTTATTTATTAAGTCAATAAATCAGTCGTCCCTGATCACGTGGATCTGTATGGTATATTTGTAAAAACGTGGTTGCCAATGCTGGATAAAATAGAAAACAAGAAAAAAAGGTTCACACTGATACTTTTCTTATCCGGCTGTTAAAAGCATTGAAAAATCATTTCAGCACGTATGTACGTGTGTAGCGTCCGGTCATCATGGCTGATATGTACATGATATGGTTATCCTGGTTGATGTTGGTGAAATGTTCAACTTTGCCCTTCCTGTTCATTAGATTACTCCCTTTCTGCATTTCCAGTTTAGCACAGCGCTGACTCCATTTCCGCCTTTCAGTTTGCCTCGGATCTTTGTACTTTACTGTAAAGTGCTCCAACATTAATGGCTGAAAGAAGTACAAACAGACAGATTAGATTCATTTGACCAACACTGCGGGTGTTTCCGTATCATGAATATCATATATTAGGAATAAAACTTATGTATTCCTAATACAGTATAAACCTGATAAGTAAAATTTCAAGGGACTCGCCAAAATTGTTTACTTATCAGGTATTTTACTTATCCAAACTTATCAAAACCCGGAAATGACGGCAGAACAACAGACAACATTTGTAAGTAATATGACATGTTTTGTTTGATATTAATGATACGGAAACACACGAGGTTAATAATCTCTTATTATATAATGTCATTCTCGTCCACGTAAAGTAAACTCGCGACGATGTCATCGATGAAATGTTAAACGTTTTAGGATTCGCATGGCGTGTATGGAGTTTTGTGAAGTAGTTCGTGGATTGACGTAATTTGCATACTTATCAGATTTGGATACCAAGTTTATCAGATTGCTTTATTGCACCGATAACACCATCCATTAGATGATAAAATCCAGCTCTTATGACATATATTGGTTGCTCTAGTTTCGCTGCATGCGGCGTTAAACAACAAAAAATACACACAAAAGACACAAATAATCACAAACCATCACATGACTGTTCTTCTACCCTCCCGCCTGACTGAGTGTTGTTGTCAGGGCAAGGTCTGGCTTCTGCACCTCTACCGTTTGACTTTTGAACCTTTGCATAGAGATCTGATACCTCCACTGAAAAGAAAACATACACACTTTACTAAACATTTCGTATAATTGTATCTATGTGTGACTCAGATCCATGACAGTTGTAGGATCCGGGTTGGATTGTCTCATTTGTGAAAGATAGACATATCAGCATGGATGTGTATATACATGGCACATTGCTCATATGTTATACAACTGGGTCTCTTACATCAATCAATCAATCAAGTTTATTTCGTAACAAGGCCTTAGGCCCACGTACAATATAATTAAACATGTATAATTATAAGATAGTGGTATTTGACAATCAGATTCATATGTATAAAGAACGCAATGACAATGCTTCCTTAATGTAAGAAGAACAATATGTTAGTGTTGAAAACTTGGTACAGGATAATGTGTTCAGAAAGAATTGTTGATCTATGTAATTTGGTAATGATTTAAAATATTTACAGCGCAAATCATGATAAACTTTACTCTCAAATAGGAAATGAAATTCATTTTCTACAAAATTATCATTACAAATATTACAAAGTCTTTGGTGCCTCGGAACTCCATCTAATCTACCGGTATTTTTATATATTGGAAGTGCACCGATTCGTAACATTGTTATTCGACGCCTCGCATCTTATATGTATTACGAATGAAGTTACGAACCTCCATAGATTTTAGTTGCGCATGACTCTTTGACAAAAGAACACATGAGTTCTGTCATCTTATAACAGAATGTCTTAACAAGTGCTATCGTTTGGGTACCAAAGTAAACTTGAAACCAGCCGGTTACTGCGCCGTAATAACTACATCACTAATCTCTCTGCTACATAACCTGGTCATTCCTGTTTGGGAATTTAGTGAGTGAGTGAGTTTAGGTTTACGCCGCACTCAGCAATATTCCAGCTATATGGCGGTTGTCTGTAAATAATCGAGTCTGGACCAGACAATCCAGTGATCAACAGCATCAGCATCGATCTGCTCAATTGGGAACCGATGACATGTGTCAACCAAGTCAGCGAGCCTGTCCACCCGATCCCGTTAGTCGCCTCTTACGACAAGCATTGGTTACTGAAGATCACTATTCTAACCCGGACCTTCATGGGTATGGGAATTGAAAATGGTTGGCAAAATGGTTTTGGATGATACACTGAATCTCACCTTCGACCGTCCAGACTCTACACAAAACTTTCATTTTGAAGATTCCTTAACAAAAGAAGAAGTCTTGGAGACTTCAATAACTCGTCTTGATGAGTTTCGTGTCGAGAAGAAGAAGTACTTTCTCTCGGTATTTGAATGTACATGTATATGCATAAATATCAGAAAGAAACCACCAAAATGCAGTTAAATCAGAACCAGAATCCCCATTCATGATACTTTCTTTGACACACAATAGGAAAACCTCAGTTGTACATATATTGAGCTAGGACCCACTTGGTCTGAGGGTCATGTCGTTAAAACATATACATTTGCCGTCTTCATCGCACATGTTGACAAATACTGATCATTGCTTGTTATCTCTTCCAGCAACCTTCCCCCAAGGTTATCACTTCTGCCTGTTCTGCATCCCTTTCCAATTCGAACAGGCTAATGCAGTTTATTATCACCACATCTAACTTGTGGAGTATTTCGTGTTTTAGGTATGGTTGACTTGGGCGATGATATAATATATATAACATACTGCTGAGTGCCGTTGTATCATGTGGTTATATACTGCGACGGCGCTGACTTTCCTTCTCATTTCCTTGCGCTTTCGGTTGGATCTAATCGGTCACACACAATCACATTGCGAGACAATACTTACCGCTATCAGGACGATCATTTGCTACAGGCACAGCATGCCTTGCTTCCGAAGCAGTCACATTCCCAGCTGTCCAATAGACAGGATTCTCTGTGATCAACATACAGTACACACATCAGCACCGCTTCCCATACACTCGGACCAAATATCAATTAAGCAAATGACTGAAAGGAATTTGGACATCTTGCTATCGTTCAAGGTGGAGTATGTTTACAAGCTCTAGCAGTACATGAATGCAGTGGTTATGGGATCCAGTCCAAGCCTCACACTGAGTAGGATACTTGCTTTGTTCACTTGATCATCGATCCTCAATAGTCCTTTTATGATTCTTCAACACTAAACATTACAGTTGTAGACAGAGAAGGATCTTTTATGTTATAGAAATAATAGAAAACAAGCATATTGAGTTGTTCGAATTCCAGATGTCTGGCAGATGCTGTGCTTCACCTACGTTCTTTGATTTCAGCAATGTCGTAAGCGTCTAATATCTGCTGTTTTCCCAGTCACACGAAATAAACCGTTCTTGATAATGATTTAACATTGGTGACATGTCATTAGCCTCGATAAATATAAAAGAAGACTGTTCATATTGTGCTCAAAACACTGTAAGTGGTAACATTGTGTGTTTACTACATGTCGTCTTTTTGGCCATGTGAGAATAAGCTTATGGGGAACAATCTAAATGATTTCCCAATTCTGAAAAGAACAATGCCATAATTACCTGCCATTTCCGCCAGGGATGATGAAGAGTCTGATCTCATCCTGAAACATATTTATTTCAGGTGTATTTTGAAAAATTAAAATAACATACTAAGACATATGTTAAATGTACCGAAACCGTCACCTGGTTCCGACTCGGTGAACACGTAGATCATTCTGCAGGAAATGCACTCATATATTTCCAGTCAGCTTGTCATTAGGGCTTTAGAGTAGGTTCGTTTTAAGGTTTCCTTTATAACAAATACGTGCATTTCACATGTTAGTTTATAGATGTTTTAGCTCTACATACCCGATTACCGTACACTGGTTTTACACATCATCTCATAATCTACCCCTTATCAACAGAACAAGAGTGCATGTCAATCAATGTTGACATGTTGGTTTTTTACAAGCAAACATTTTGTGTGTACAGTTAAAGGGATACGGGGATTGTTCTTTATAAGTTGTTCACTAGTCTCTAGAGGGACATTGGTTGATGTTTGTATTTGTTCCCTGAGCCCGAAGGGGAGAGGGGAACATAAAGAAACATAGAGGGTACATCAACCCATGGGCCCTGAGGGACCAGTGAACAACGTACTAGTATTTATCTTACAGAACACCTCAATGGTAATTTTGAACTGTTTGAAGCACTGGTATCGGATCATAGTATGGACTACCAGACGACAAGAAAAACAAACTAGAGTTATCTCCCTTCCATCGATTTGCATTCGCAAAACATCGGTAATTTCCGTACATCATATGTGATTCAAAGTTATTCGAGATAAAGAATTACGAACGAAATGAGTTCGGCATTCCCAGCGGGGTACATAGAACATGTTACTCGCTTGTAAGCGGGGTACATTGAAAATAACAGAAGAGCGCTCAGCCAATCAGTAAACGACATTCATGTGTGAGGCAAGATAATTGTGCATGTCCCTCACCTAACAGGAAGAGAGTCCTAACACAGCGCAACAATCAGGAAGCACTGAAACGTTACTGGGTATTGATGCAGATTAGATTGTGTCTGTCTGCTGCTGCAGCAGCATCTAAGCTGTATTTACATCCAGACATGTGCGTGTTGTTCTCTTAGGCTGTAACATCATACAGCGACTTCCTCAAGGACAGTTTTTTATCAGACAACCGGACAACCTCTACACTTGAAACCTCAGCATATTATGCATTATTCCCAATCGTGACACTGTATTAATGTTCCTCAGAATAAACGTGGGCACTCTTTAAGTAGTGTTACAAGGTCTACAAAATAATGTTCAACATCCCCAGAAAGTTTTTTCAATTGCAAAAAGACGGGTGCTCAACTATTCTGCTGACGTATTCCCCACACAGTAGGAAGATGAACACAATATTGATCGAAAATGTTCTTCCCCTATCTCCATACCATTACACAGTTCAGTGGACTGTGTGTGACCAGATCGTCTGTCGGTGTGACCTGTGACCTGAAGTGGCTATAGCTGTGGATGAGGGTGTGAACATCTATCCTCACACTGATAACCACATCTACTCGGGCTCGCAATAAAACGTTCTATTCTAGTGACAGGGACGTGTGTAGCCCATACTCATCTGCCGTGTGCTGATCTAGATCTGATTCACATCTGAGTTCATTATGGAAATATCGGGAAATAGATAGCTATGACTTACCTCCCTCTTTTGGAACCACGGTCTGATGAAGATAAATAAACATATTCTCAGCAATTGTTTTGTAATCGAAAATCAAACTACAGGGGGATATTTCAAGATGTTCCATTAATATTTCACAAGCTAAATGATAACACTTGTATTTTATCAGACAGCAGAAGGCTCTTAGGTCATAATATAAAAAAAAAACAGACAGCCTCTTCGTTTTAACAATATAAATGAGCACAGTAGTACTATCGTTTCCTGAAACATGTTATTGCAAAGTTGTGTCTGTTGCTTATCATATAATTCAATCAACTTTTCACACAAAGTGACCTGAATGACACAATGCATTTTATTTGTGATGACCCATGAGCTTACAATGAATAACATGCTGACTTGGTCACCCAGTTATAATTAATCCCATTCAGTGTGTTGGACATGTTGCTGTCATTGGTTCTACCACCAATGAGGCGTGGATGATAGGACATACTCACCACGTCTGGAAATTCGTACTTTCAGCACGCAAACAAGAACAAGAACAAGCACAAGAACAAGGATGCCCGCAGCAGTCAAACTATATATCATGGCCAAGTTGTCATCCACATCCATGGTTGGTTGTTGGTATCCCGTACTTGCATTCTCTAATCTTCGGGGAACATCAGTGGTTGCAGGTGATGTTGGCAGATCTGAAGAATCTAAAACCATTGTAAAAATATTCATGATCTATTCTGATGGCTCGCCTTGTCTTCAGGCACTTAAAAGTCTCTCCTCGAGTCATCAAACATTGATGTTCATACTGAAGCATTGGATGTTGCAAGGTGGTCCCTTTGCGGAATAATACTCTCTTTACGTGTGGTTATTCAACGTGAAGCATATTGTGGTAAAAGGAAGGGAAATATGATTTATCTAAAGAAGACGATTTTAATACAGACAGTGAGTGAGTGAGTTACATCGCAACGTGCAAGCACACGTGTTGACAACGTCAGATAGGACTGGAGGTGCCCATGACAATTATAACATGAAATGGGGTGTTTGGTAGAGAATATCTTTTTGGGTGACCAGCAGGATGTGACGAGTAGAATGTTTGGAGAAAGTACCTTGTTTGATGACCAGCAGGATATGGACGCTTTGCCTTCCGGAACTGCACGACCAGTTCTTCGCTTCAACAGTAGTAAAATTCTCAATCATTAACCAAGAGGACGTTTGGTTGCATGAGGCTGTCGTGGTTACCCCAGTGTATACATTGTTCGGTCCATACACGACATAACATTTACTAGAGTTTCCAGCTGTCTTCGCGACAAACAAACCTTCGATATTCCACTTCGCATTTAACATGCCCTCGCTGTCCTTGATATAACAGGTGAGCATGACATTCGTTCCCTCTGCCACTGTATATGTGTCTGTGGGTGGGTCTATCAATACTGAAAGATGAAATGTAACGAGTTAACAAAGGTGGTGAATGAATGGACTGAATTGCAATAATGTAACAAACCATCTGGTGAAACGCATCATGTACCCGTTGAGTGAGCGAGCGAGTGAGTGAGATTTACGGTGATTTTAGCAATATTCCAGCAATATCACCAGAATTGAACACATTGTACCCATGTGTGGAATCGAACCCGGGTCTTCGGCGTGACGAGCGAACGCTTTAACCACTGGGCTACCTCACCACCACTGTACACATGAAACAGGGGCAAGTAGTCCTAATATATTTACTTCCAACTGCTACCAATAATTTCAACAGTGACAGCGATGGTAATCGTTTGTGAACTTAAAGTGACACTTTATCCAGAAATTACCATCTGTGTATTAACTCCATATGTCAGCGAGTCTACGGGTTAAAACATCAGTGGTGATTGCGTTTCAATAACTGACAATTAATAACTGTTTTCCTACGCTTTACATTCCCACGTTTATCCCAACATATACTCAGCAGCAAAGAAAACGTCAGTACGAATTCAAAATTTGATAGGCAGTGTAATCAAATCATTACAGAAATGGACACAATAAGCGGATAAAAAACATTTTTTGTGTACAATATCTTGACACATCAATTAATAACTCTCCAGTATAACAATTCCAAGAGATTACGTGAACGTTTGCAGTCCATTCAGGCTCTTGACTTCAGTATCTAGTGTGACCACCACAAGCGGCAAATGCATGGAGTGCACCAATCGATTGATGAAGGCCATAGGCACCTGGAACCACACTCTGTGAAAGGCCTGGTGCAATAAATCGGCTGTGTTCGGACTTGGTATGACATTATTCAGTCTCCTCTGAATTTCATCCCAAAGATGCTCCATTGGGTTTAAATCAGGACTTAGGGCAGGCCACTGCATAATATTGACACCGTTCTGTTGTAGGAAGTCCCGTGTAGCTCTGGCAGTATGGGCCCGGGCGTTATCATGCTGGAAAATATTCCGGTGACGTGCGAAATGTGGTATGATGTGGTGCCGCCTCCTCTCCCGAGACCAAGGTTCAGGAACACCACATCAGTTTTGATTGGTCTTCCGTGTGTCTGGCGTGCTGTTTCGGATGCCTGCGTGAAGGGATTATGTACATACTATCGCACAACATGGCGGCCCTGCCGTCTTGTGGTCACCCTTGGTCTGCCAGTACGGGGGCGATCATGTGTGGTGTTGGTATCGTTGCTGCAGCGTGTAGATGGTCCGAACGTTGACCTGGAAGTGAATGGCAACGGCTTGTGCAGTGTGGCCAGCTTCAAGTCTTCCTAGCGCCTGGTTCCTCTGAGCTGTCGTGAGTCGCGGCATCCTTCTAACGTTGTAATGTGAATGTTTCAACCAGGTTTGGGGGGTGCATTTTATAGGGCTGGTCCTTGTGAACAGCACGTGCAGCATGAGTTGCATGGAAAAGATGGAGAACACCGCACCATCTCCGAGATCAGGTTGCGTTTTTGAGACCATTTCCTGGGTTCCATTCTGAGTTTGGGAAGGAATGTCTTTGCTCAGGTACAGTTGGAGATGTTGTCAAAAGTATAGTCAATCAAAACATTAAATGATTTTTACAGTTATCCGTTCCTGCGAAGAAAAATTCCAAACTGACGTTTCTTTTGCTGCTTAGTATGGTTTGTCAGTGGTTTCATTTCAGGGACCTTACTCATAAAACGCTGAGGAAAGTTTTAACCGTATTTAATGTAAATCCTGTCCTAATCAAACAAACAATCGTACTCTTTGACTTTGCACGGAACAGTTCTCTTCATGTGACTCAACAAGAAGAAACCATTTAGTGCCTCGGAGAAAACAAAACCATCGGGAAGCGAATCTATGTAAGTACTTACATTCCCCTTCAGAAACTCCAGAAAACACACACACTGACACTATCACAGTCACATACATCAATTCCTGCATAATCCTTCAGATAACCAACATTAACAAGAAAAATGCGATAGCGCTCCGACATGTAGAATACTCAAGGTTGCCACGTATGTTGATGATGCGTTGTGTTTCGGCTCAGTACACATGTCGGAGGGCGTTCACGTCCGTCATCTCTATCGTGAACAAAGAAGCAACGTTTCCTCCATGTATATAAATAGTCTAACAATACAGTGTCTCTCCACGTAACTACATCATTGGTTCTTCATGTATTCTAGATCATTCTATTGCAAACTGGACCTACCTCAATTGTCGTAGCATAGAATTTAGGTCATTCTAATTCAAAACTTCAATTACCTCGATTTGTTGTAGCATAGAATTTAGGCCATTTTAATTCAAAACTGCAATAACCACCTTTCTGTGGCATAAGATTTAGGTCATTCTAATTCAAAACTGCAATAACCCCCTTTCTGTGGCATAGGATTTAGGTCATTCTAATTCAAAACTGCACTTACCTCCATTGTTGTAGCATAAAATTTAGGTCATTCTAATTCAAAACTGCACTTACCCCCTTTCTGTGGCATAGGATTTAGGTCATTCTAATTCAAAACTGCACTTACCTCCTTTCTGTAGCATAGAATTTAGGTCATTCTAATTCAAAACTGCAATAACCCCCTTTCTGTGGCATATGATTTAGGTCATTCTAATTCAAAACTGCACTTACCTCCATTGTTGTAGCATAGGATTTAGGTCATTCTAATTCAAAACCGCACTTACCCCCTTTCTGTACCATAGAATTTAGGCCATTCTAATTCAAAACTGCAATAACCCCCTTTCTGTGGCACAGAATTTAGGTCATTCTAATTCAAAACTGCAGTTACCTCCATTGTTGTAGCATAGAATTTAGGTCATTCTAATTCCAAAATGCACTTACCCCCTTTCTGTGGCATAGGATTTAGGTCATTCTAATTCAAAACTGCACTTACCTCCATTGTTGTAGCATATAATTTGGGTCATTCTAATTACAAATTTGACCTATCTCCATTGTTGTAGCATATACTTTACGCCACTTTAATTACAAACTGGACCTACCTCCATTGCTTTAGCATATAATTTAGGTCACTCTTATCACAAACTTGACATAAAGCTCCATTGTTTTGGCGTATAATTTAGGTCACTTTAATTACAAACTGGACCTATCTCCATCGTTTTAGAATATAACTTAGGGCTCTCTAATTACGTAATGGACATAAACGTGCGAAAAATGCCATTATATATCTCTATGTTTATTTTTATTTGTTTGTTTGTTTGCTGTTTACCACCGCACTCAGCAACATTCCAGCTATATGACGGCAATCTCTAATAATCGAGTCTGGACCAGACAATCCAGTGATCAACAGCAAGAGCAGCTTCACTAAAGGCTTTATTGTAAATGTATCTCCTACCTCTGGGCTGATGACCAAGGTGTCATATTCATTTGATTCTGATTCAGTTTTTTTTTATATTCACTGCTGTTATGGATTCAGAATCTACAAAAAAGACAAAAGATTATCTTGCTGAATATAATCCTTATTCCCTGAATACCAAGGAAAACAGAATAAATTTGTTTTCAAAGACAGGTCGTTTGTTCTTTCAAGTACTCAGGTTTCCCATAGCCACTCTAAACTAGAGATGTAGATGTAAAATAGATGTAGATAAAGACCTATCAAGACTCTGTTTGTTTTCTACCCATCGAACTTGAGATCACGGTGGCAACGTGTAACCGTTCTGAAAAGTGCTGCCCTTAGACAAATGTTCAGAACAGACAACTGCTTTTTACATGTAAAGTGGACGCGCTCCTGAATGGTCATAGTTCATTACCTCTACTATTACAAGAAGACAGTGGTGTCATAATCAATTTAGTTTTACCCTAATTGGAAGCTTGGCAACTGATACACATAGGTGAATATTACCAGAAAACAATTGCTATGTTATCACATCTTACCAAATTCCTTTAGGGGATGGTTTTCAATCAACGTATGTGTATGTATCAGAGTGTGTTTGTGTGTCTTTAAATTACTTTCTGTCTACAAACTGTTTGAGCTTGTGTATTGCATGTATTAAAGCGAAACGAATAACATACAACTCTTCAAGTCTGATTAGGGTTTCAACACACCGTACAACTAAAGGCGACGACCAAGTGAAGAGAAATGTGTATTGTTCACTAACCAGCGCACTTCACAGCGCTTGACTAATAACGATCTCTTGAGTAGGTCCTGAGTAGGTCGGACTTGTCAATTGAACGCCCTGTCAAGACCCGGAAACAAAGTGAGTGAGTGAGTGAGTGACTGAGTTAGCGAGTGAGTAAATGGAAATGGGCTTCAAACATTGTTCCCATGTGGGGAATAGAACCACAGTCTTCGGCGTTACGAGGGAACGCTTTAACCACTAGGCCACCTCACTGGAAACCAAGCATGCAATACATTATATATAACGCTCGCTTCCTCCTCCTTGGAAACGTTCCTCTCTTCAACGAAATGACGTATAAACGTAATATTTATCACTGTGTAAATTAAACACACGGTCTGCCAATTATATGAAACAAATTGCGTGTAGATGTGTAAAGTCGAAGAATATCTCTGTTATTATTTGGCATGTTCGATTATGTGGAAAAGCTGGAGTGACAGTGATCTTGGACTTTTTAAAGTTACGGGAATCCCACCAGAACAGCATTGTGCTGACAAATCTGTGGTGAGAAGAGGGTTTGTACCTAGAGCACGCCTAAGTGATGTTACTCTACACAGTGAGTTGTGACGACCACGGTGACGGTGACGAATACGATGACGGTAACTTTGTGGCAACTACGACGACGGTGACGTTATGGTGCCTACATGGACTTGACGTTGTAATGACCGCAGTGCCGGTGAAGTTGTGACGTCTACAGTGACTTAGACAACAGTACATAATGTAAGCCGAGAAACAGGATATATACACAAGGATGTGATACTACAACCAGGAACACAATTATTTAAGAGCATTCATCGCAAACCTAGATGCGCACTAGGGAGAACGAGGAAGTAGCAGTAGTAGTCTCACTTTTCTTACTAAATAACATGACACGTTGTCAGGTCACGAGATATTTGATAAAATGTGGCCTTATAGAGACTCATTAAACACGTGTTTTATTCAGTTTTCAAAATTATCACGTAGGAACTGCAACATTACATTTTTCAGTAATTATATATGATGATATTTCATTGTCTGTTTGCTTGCGTACTGGTAGTTGGCTGCAATTGAAATTGGCTATTTCTAATAAACGTGCAGCCAATAAGATATATTGTTTATCTCAACGTAGGTGATCTGATTTGCAAGTGGGTACGCATTATCACGTGCTGTATCCATGGTACGTATGCACGTACACATTGTTCAATACGTACATTCCATGCGCTCTATGCATGCTCAAAACGTGCCATGTATTTCATTTCCTAACGAGGAAACAATTGTGGTCGTGACTTGATAAATAGAAAAGAAAACACAGGCGACGCTCACTGAACAACTTTAGGTAATCTTATACAGATTTACTTCTGGGGGAACACTACAGTGTGTGTGTGTGTGTGTGTGTGTGTGTGTGTGTGTGTGTGTGTGTGTGTGTGTGTGTGTGTGTGTGTGTGTGTGTGTGTGTGTGTGTGTGTGTGTGTGTGTGTGTGTGTGTGTGTGTGTGTGTGTGTGTGTGTGTCGGGGGCGGGGGGTTAATAATTCACACATGTTCAATGTATCTTGGGTTATATTTTACTCGAGGATGTTTGATTATGTATAACATGACTCCTTGACAGTATCACACCTCACTTTCAATCAGTCAAGACCCAGTTCTCACATCTCGTTAGCGTTTTCCAGTACACGGTACATGCACATCTGGGGCCGGATTCACTAAACTTCTAAGAATTTTCTTAGATTTATGCTTAAGTTTCCTTAAGAATTCTTAGCTGAGAATTTATCTTAAGTAGCAATCCACCAAGCCACTAAGCATAAATCTTAGCTGAGATATTTACAAAATTCTTAGAATTTTCTTAGTGAGAAACGCATGGGATTATGGGATACAAATTTATGCTAAGAATATTCTTAGATGACGTGTTGGAAATACCCGTATCTATTAATAGCATAGTTGAAGTTTAGTGAATCCGGCCCCTTGCGACATCTGCAAACAAGCAGGGACATAAAAAACTGGTCTGTTGTATTTTAACAACTAACAGGCTAAATTTAAATTATATTTGTTGATGTCGTTTCATATTTTTTACTGGCGTTTTCAATACTCAAGTTCACTTCACAGGTTTTTATGCTGATGTAATCTATGGTGTACAGCAACTGATATACAGTACATGTTATCAGGAAGTATACAATGTTTTCAGCGTGTTTTTTATCTCCAGCCATAAGATGGCGACCTTTGAAAAATGAAGCCAATACTAGTTAGTACAATTGACCCAAGTCAAATACACACTCGATAGCTCTGATTATAATGATTCCACGCTAGATGTATGGATGACTGGCGACTACTCGATGACGTTGTCGAAGTTTATGTTGTGAGTCTTTTATTCACCAGTTTTTGTTTTTCTATAAATGTGAGTTTTCTTTGCTTACATACATTTAAGATAAATGCGGAATAATCTTCCAACCAGTGTTTCACTCGTGGTATGTGTCATCTATGTCAAAAGTAAAAATGAAAGGGCAAGCCAACAAGCCCAATACAGACAGACACGCAGGAGTTAGGAGAAAAGCACCGCGCCATCTGTCGGAAGTAAACTGAGTCCTGATACTCAAACCCATTGCAACAAGACCTTATTTAGAGTACGTAGCAAGTTTTTTATCCAGGGAAATAATAAAACATCATCAAGAAATAGCGATTATAAAGAAACTGTAAGTTAGGTGAAAAGAGCATAAACGTCACATTCGAGGATATTTCAGCCGTTTTCACGAAAGTTTCAATGGCCATTTAATAAACTTTGACGGGGGTAGGTGTGTGTGTGTGTGTGTGTGGGGGGTTGATTCGCCTATGGGTTGCTTGTGCTGGTCAGGACGGGAATTGCTTCAGAGTGTTAACTGTTTTCCTTTGCCTCAGTTTTACATGGACTCTCTCCCAAGACACAGTGTGCCAACTGTGAGTCGGACAGGCAATATTTGGTTAACTTAAAACAGGACGACAGGCAGTGTAACCCAAATTATCATACAATGGCTAGCGTTCTCGACAGGATAAAGCCAACGGATATTTTCGGTATCCGTTTGGGTTATATACGGACATCGATGCAAATTAGAGAGGTCATATGCAGATTTTAGGGACTACAATTTTTAGGGACTACTTTCACAGTGTAAACAAACATGGCGTCATGACGGCCGCGGTTACGGTAGTGTCAGTACCAGAAAACTCATTTCTGTTAATGATGGATGGAGTGAATTACGAAGTGAAGATAGAATTCCATAGGCTTACGGAGATACAAAGTATTACAAACACGAGTTCCCCGACCGACTGGCAGTGTTAGCGGGGCGGTGGGGTAGCCTAGTGGTTAAAGCGTTGGCTAGTCACGCCGAAGACCCGGGTTCGAATCCCCACATGGGCACAATGTGTGCAGCCCATTTCAGGTGTCCCCCGCCGTGATGTTGCTGGAATATTGCTAAAAGCGGCGTAAAACCAAATTCAGGCAGGCAGTGTTAGCGGAATCCAGGTTTCGTACAGTACATTAAACTGTATTTGCTGTTGAAATGGTTAATCGCTAAATACAATATATTCCTTATACAGGATATCAATCAATCCAAAACACTCTCGCGTGATAACCTTTATTTACGTGTTTTAGTATAAAAACTTTGATAGTTTTTCCCGGTTTGTCTTTTGTTAGTTTGTTGTTTACCCCCTCACAAAGAAATAGTCCAGTTGTACGGCGGCGGTTTGTAAATAATTGAGTCTGGACCAAACAATTTAGTGATCAACAGCATGAGCATCGATTTACTCACCTGTGATACGATGATGTGTCAACCAAATCAGCGAGCGTGATCACCCGATCCAATTAGCCGCCTCTTACGACAAGCATGGGTTGCTGAAGACCAAGTCTAGCCCGAATCTTCATGGGTGACTTTAACACTTCTAACGCGGAGACGGGATCGAACATTCAACTCATCGGGCAACGCTCCATCCCGGGAGTCCTGGCAGTGATTATAACAACTAAAAGGCAAAAACTAATACGTAAGAACGAGTGAACATGTTGAAAGTGATGACTACGAATATGATGCAAGTTATAGGTGATAATCCTCCCCAGCAGTCCCTCTGCAGTTTGATAATACTGCTTCACGGATAAAGATGTGTTACTTTACACATTTCCTGATATAAGTACTGTACACTGCAAATCTTACTAAATTGTAATTATCGCACAAAACATTAAAATATGTAAACATTAGTATACGATTGGGATTGACATGGTTATATCTAGAAAAGGTAAAGGCTGAGGTAGTGCATAACCTTTTTGGGGGGAGAGAGAGATGGGGGTGGGGGGAGAGAGATGGGGTGGCGGCGGAGAGAATGAAATCTAGACAATTTGGCGTCATTATTGGGGTGTAAGATTAAACCATGCATGTGTGTAGGCCAGTTACTGTTAGCTGTTCATCTGCATGTTCTTGATCATCATACTGTACATGTGGTTATGATCTGGAATTTCTAGATCTTCAATCTCTTTACTTTAATTGCTTTTTTAATTACTCTTTTTTAATGAAGTTAAAATATGGACTTACTCGTAGGACGTCTTTTTACATTTACCAAAAGCACCATGTAATGTGACTGAAATTGTAATTTTAAAAAGCATCTAAAAAAAGTGCTTGATGTAAAATTCAATAAAGCAGGCCCATCAAAAAGCAAAGTGTTCTCCACATCAGTTGTAAAGATTTCACACACTCTGACGGATCAACCCTACATCACGCGGGACATCGTCATGAGATCTCGTGGTTCCGATATCCTACAGATCTCGTTCCTGGTGGCTCCAGGATCCTGTTCCTCAAAGCTGTGTTAAGTTTAGTAACAAGATTGTCCTACGTAAGAGAGTAATGAGTGTCCTGCTCTATCATAGTTTGGGAGTTGGTAGAGATCATGTGTTCTCAACGTTATTTGGCACTGTTGGTCAGCCTCACATAGTAAACGAAAAACAAATGTTCCTGGTATCATGTAACAGAACATCTTAGCCTATGAACACATGTTTTCATCATCTGTCACAGGACTTCTGTAACGGGGAGATGACAGTGTAATTTGATAACTGATGTTAGTTTACATGTTGAACAGTCCCAGTATCTACATTCAGCTGTAATCTAGCTTCAACCCGTCTCATATTGAAGTTAAACATATCGCTCTTCACCTTCAAACAATCAACAACAACGGCTCGATACCAAGTAACGTTCAGTATTTCCAAACAGAACAATGGGCTGCATTGCCCGCATACTACAAGTCTGATTTGTATCCTTGTCTTTGCTAATCTCGGTGTATATGTGCCAGTACGATACAGAACCTTGGCTTCATATAAGAGTTTCCTCTGTGACAAGATATTTTCTCTAATGTGACAGTTTAAGTCGCCCCTCACAAATGGTTTTAGATTGCGAATCAGGTCCATCGTCCCATTAAAACTAACTTTTCAGCATATTTTGATTGATATATATTCATGGTAATGCTAATAATTATTATATATATCGCTGAATTTTCGTTCCCTTTTGACAACAACGTGATTGGAAAGATACAGGAAAAGTATGTTAAATATGCGGAAGTCGCCTTTGAAATGTTTCGCTTGCATCCCAAGTACACTCGTCAGACTCCCCATTGTTCTCGGTGCCCCTTGGCCAGATCAGGAGAGTGCCCGGGTTCTCCACCGGGGGCACAGCCTTTCTGACACTCTGGGTGATGCAGAAGGCTGCAGTGTTGAGGAGCCTTCATATTCTCCGGAAAGGGCTGTTCGACTAGGCAGCGTTCCCTGAGAGAGGTCCCATTCGCTGTGTGGGCTGCGTGAAGTAGGGGGCAAGGGCCCTGAGCTGATGATGAGCATTACCAGCCTGACTGTGCCAGGATCACCCGAACCCTCTCTGCTGCATAATGATTTAATCTGTAAAGCATAAAGTACTGGATTTGTACACCGACAAGTTTCCACATACGGTGCTCAACGGCACTGACTATTATTAGCCCGGATAACCCTAGCTGCCTGTAAGGCGCTAGACTGTTAATAGTCTCATGACTTATCCAACCGGGTACCCATGAAATTACAAATTATAATGTAACAGGATATGAGTTGCTAAGTGGTTGGTTGTTGTTTAACGCCACACTCAACAATATTCCAGCTAAATGGCGGCGTTCTGTAAATAAGCGAGTCTAGAACAGACAACCCAGTGATCAACAGCATGAGCTTCGACCTTTGTAACTTGGGTGCGATTCCATGTGTCAACCAAGTCAGCGAGCCTGACAACCCGATCCCATTAGTTTCCTCTTACGACTAGCATGGGTTACTGAAGGTACATTCTAGCCCAGATCAGGTTATCAGAAAACATAACTCGGTGAATATGTACATCGTACCTGACAGCATCGACACCTGTTAATAATATCAATCACTGGATTGTCTAGTCCGATATTCAAAGGCCGCCGTCAGAAATGTTAGACCAAACATCAATGGAATATTTATTTACTGTCAGACAACAAGAAAAAGGACACGTGTTACTTCCCCAATGAGTGAGTCTTCTACTGATAACGGATGCAGTAAGACTGTACCATATTACACTCACATGTGGTATACTAAGTAACTGGATCATACACTTGACCTGAGTAGCGTGTATCATCAAACATCGAGGTTTCAGGGATATATATATAGTTACAATCTCGTAACGGAAACGCACTGAAACTCCGCAGTGGATGCACACTGCATAATGTAGTGCAGTACAATGTATAAAGTTAAGAAAGTAAGAATATTTATGGATAACAACTTCTTTATTATATATGATGCGACGTTTCGGTATGGATTCTTATACCGTTGTCAAGCAAGAGTGACAACGGTATAAGAATCCATACCGAAAACGTCGCATCATATATAATAAAGAAGTTGTTATCCATAAATATTCTTACTTTCTTATTAGTCACCAACTTCTAAATGCCAATCAAACAGATCAATGTATAAAGTTGCAGCAAGATGTTTACGCCGCGTTTGCTATGTTCCAATCCACTGAGATGGATGGGAAACCAGAACTGGATGTAACATGTTCACCCATGATGTGGCTCAAATCCGGGTCCGTTGACGTGAGGGCCTATCACTGTGTACACGACCCACCGCGGTCATCAACCTTGGTAGATAACAGCTCGTAGCCACAGTTGTCAACTCTACTGTATACACACATCGGCAGGGAAAGATACGAACACCTACGCGCGCGCGCGCGTGTGCGTGTGTGTGCCTGTGTGTGCGTGTGTGTGTGCGCGCGCGCGTATGTTTGTGTGTTTGCTTTGAAATGTAACAAAGCAAGTTACCCCAAAAGACCTAAGTTTGCCATGACATGTGGTAATAACATTTGCTTAAACGGTGTGGTATTGTCCGAAACAGTTTCCCCGGCAATAACGTTTGGAGGAAGCCATGTCCACTTCTGACTGGCCATTGCCTTGTGGGCACCTGGAGATGTTTTACTAGAGGTGATGTTACATGCACGGTGGGTACGTCAGGTTATATTAGAAAACTTACACCAGCAGTGGCGCACTCTTCGCGACTATAATGTCTCGGCCGTACTGTGCACTGACCCTTCCATGGACAATATATAGTGGCATTGTGGCAGACATACGGCATTACCATCACGATCAGAACAGAAACCTTCTTTTAGAAAATCAATTACATCAAGTGCAATTTCAAGTCAAGAACAAAAAATATATTCGACCAGTGAGCAAATAAGAACATAAAGTTTCCAGTTGATCCAAGTTTAATAAAAGCTTCAAATTACAGTGTAATATGAGCATGGGAAAACAAAACACTGGCTACAATTGTTTTTATATAAAGTCATTATTGAAATAAGCATTGCGTTGATGTAACAGCACGTTAAGAAACAGGTATAGGGAAGGCATACTATTACGCAAAGCAAAGTCCAAATATCAGTTCATCTTGATTACACATTGAAAGACTGTCAGTGGAGGTCCGTCACGCTTCAAGTGGTATGTCGAACACTGGATTGAATATCACAGTTATATCTTTCATGTAACGAAACATAATTTATGGATATAAAAAGCCAAATCATATTATCTGGAAATATAAACTAACCAAATGAGGGTTATTTAAACAGTTACCGACGCTGGGGTACCTGTAAACGAAAATGGCTTGTTTGAGTTGATGCACACTTTTCAACAGAAGCCCCTTTCTCTAAGTTTTTTACATAAGTATGAAGTTATTACTTTAACAAAAGTCAATATGCACCTTTGGAATACCTTTCAGTACTATGGTCTCTGAAACAACTGACTAGTATGATATGACCTTCAGTACTATGGTCTCAGGCACAACTGACTAGTATGGTATGACCTTCAGTACTATGGTCCCTGGCACAACTGACTAGTATGATATGACCTTCAGTACTATGGTCTCTGCCACAACTGTTTAGTATGGTATGACTTTCAGTACTATGGTCTCTGGCACAACTGACTAGTATGGTATGACCTTCAGTACTATGGTCCCTGGCACAACTGACTAGTATGGTATGACCTTCAGTACTATGGTCTCTGGCACAACTGACTAGTATGGTATGACCTTCAGTACTATGGTCTCTGGCACAACTAACTAGTATGGTATGACCTTCAGTACTATGGTCTCTGGCACAACTAACTAGTATGGTATGACCTTCAGTACTATGGTCTCTGGCACAACTGACCTATGACCTTAGTACTATGTCTCTGGTCTCACAGTACTAGTATGGTGACCTCTACTATGGTCTCTGCACAACTAACTAGTATGGTATGACCTTCAGTACTATGGTCTCTGCCACAACTGACTAGTATGATATGACCTTCAGTACTATGGTCTCTGCCACAACTAACTAGTATGGTATGACCTTCAGTACTATGGTCTCTGGCACAACTAACTAGTATGGTATGACCTTCAGTACTATGGTCTCTGGCACAACTGACTAGTATGATATGACCTTCAGTACTATGGTCTCTGCCACAACTGACTAGTATGATATGACCTTCAGTACTATGGTCTCTGGCACAACTGACTAGTATGATATGACCTTCAGTACTATGGTCTCTGCCACAACTGACTAGTATGGTATGACCTTCAGTACTATGGTCACTGGCACAACTGACTAGTATGGTATGACCTTCAGTACTCTGGTCTCTGCCACAACTGACTAGTATGGTATGACCTTCAGTACTATGGTCTCTGCCACAACTGACTAGTATGATATGACCTTCAGTGCGAATACATGGACAGAAACACCTTATTGTTCTCAACGGAAATCTATAAATACTAAAAGAACGTAATAACTGAAAAATAATGAAAACTAAACATACCAGTTATACATTTATTGTGAAACCAAGAAATAAAACAGCAAATCAAAGAGAAGGCAATATGAGAACAGAAAGATGTGACAGGAATTTCGTCCCTGTGTGTAGAACTACCAGTCATCTAGCGATCTTTACGTGCAAGAGCCACATAATAAGAAGAAAAGTTTGTCGGGAGTAAAATTAATATTTAGCACAAATGGTAAAAGTCAATATAAAATGAAAACAAAATACGCGATGTAGATACAAATTTCACGTACAGTGAGAAAAGGGAAATAGTGTACTATATCTTCACGCCATATTGATACAATCAGACAAGACAATCCTTACATTTATTCTCAAACCGAAAACCACCTTACAGAGAACAAACGAAATTGTCACTGTGACATCGTGTGAGTGAGCCATAATGGCTACGCTTTGAAAATATTATATTTTCTTTCAAATGCTAGCATTCCAAGAACTAAGATTTAAAAACAAACATTTTCAAAAGAAGTCTTTGCTAAAAGCAGACTCCGTGGTACTCTTATGACTTCATCATAACATAGCGAGTTAATGACATACTACCAAAGAGGGCGATACCATATGCTCGCCTAAAGGTGAGCGAACTACCCCCAACGGGGCAACCATCACAGGTCAACACGTTGACCCATCAACCAAGATACATCCTTCTATGGCCATCTCATAATTGTCCTCCTGGTTCTCAAGCGTTTTCGTAAATGTCAGATGGTGGAACTCCTTTTACTGCAAAAAAGAACAATAGTCTCACATATTACTCCTGACACATCGTAGACACGTTGTACCAAAGGTAAAACTGACCAGCGTTGTATAGTAAAGTCGAACTTGGTCTAGACTAATCATATGCCGCTATGATAATACTCTCATGCAATAGCACTACCCAATTACAGTATCTCTATAAACTGTAGACAGGAAACAGGTTATGGAAGATACGAGGCGTCCATATCCACGGAACCTTCACCAACACAAAATATACCACATTTCATTGATCACATATATTGACTAAGGAGTGAGTGAGTATAGTTTTACGCCGCTTTTAGCAATATTCCAGCAATATAACGGCGGGGGAACACCAGAAATGGCTTCACACACTGTACCCATATGGGGTATCGAACACGGGTCTTCCGCGTGACGAGCGAACGTTTTAACCACTAGGCTGACCCACCGCCCCATTCGACTAAGGAAAGCCTCTGCAGCGGTTCATATGAAATACAATACCCACATACCTGGTTCCGGCGTGGTGAGCAGGGGAAGCATTTTCCTGAAAAAAACAACAACATATTGCCTGCAGCTAAATGGTGATACAATAGCTAGATACAATAGCTGGATAGTACAGAATAGTTGGATACTTTTATTCAGTTTGTTTGTTTGTTTATGCCACACCGAGTGAGTGAGTGAGTTTAGTTTTACGCCGCACTTAGCAATATTCCAGCTATACGGCGGCGGTCTGTAAATACTTGAGATTGAACTAGACAATCCAGTGATCAACCGCATGAGCATCAATCTACGCAGCTGGGATACGAAGACATGTGTCAATCAAGTCAGCGAGTCTGATCACCCGATTGCGTTAATCGCCTCTTACAACCGACACAGGTTGTTGAAGACCAATTCTAACCCAGATCTTCACCTGGCACCATTTTTTCAGGAGATATAAGTAAACGAACTGGCCCAAAACTGGCGTCTTTACGATCATACAATAAACATTTTGAATTTAGACGAATACTAAACCTGACGCGTTAAAGCATAAGAAATCCATATAGCGTAAATATCAACCATTGCCTGTGTCACAGATATATGTTAAAACAATCTGCAGAAGGTAAGGAAGAGGCTCACGTTGGTTGGTTTCCGCGCCGCTCTTCTGAAAGGAGAAAAGAATGTCATGTCACCGTAGATGAAACAGAAAGGTACAGGTATTCTAACAACAGGTATTGCAAAAACCCACTGTAACACTTAGTTGTTGCCACCAATATAAGTCAAAACAATAGTTTAAATACAAACAACATTTCTTGATAAGCAACAGTGATTATTCCACATTTAACGTCCAGTATGTTTGCTTTCTGATAATGCAATGTGAATACCAGGTTAAATAAACATCTATAACTACATATAAGTTAAAAGTGATATAGTCAATATAAATCGAAATGCTAGTGTATGTGTGTGTGACATTGATGCGTTTCATCAGCTGCATACTGTACCTCTCCGAGCTACGTGGAGTAATCCACTAAGAACACCGACCACGCCCATCAAGCACACCAACAGAAGAGACAACACGCTGGCAACGACTGTGACCGTCCGCTTGTCCCCCTCAACTATAGACAGTATATGGAGAAGTGTTATGACTCGCTAGATGTTCTCTTTGATAAGCGAGATACATGTAGTTGAATGTTAACACTACACATGTAATATAGTGACTTCCAGACACCAGGCAGATTGTGTCAGTCGGTGGAGGAGTGATTCATAACATGAAACATTTTGTGCTGAGCGAACCGAGGTATTTAATCAAACCCTGCAGAATTTCAGTGGGATATGTATGTAAATGAATGCTATGTATGAAAAGTAAACTATATAGCTGTGTATGTAACATTGATATACATATCCCAGCATACGAGCATATAGGAGGGGGACACCATAAATGGTTTCACACATTGTGTGAAATCATTGAAGTCGAACCCGGGTCTTCGGAGTGACAAACGAACGCCTTATCCTCTAGTCTACCTTAACTCAGATAGATAGATAGATAGATAGATAGAAATTGATAGGGAAAACAATTACAATCCAGATCACTAGATTCAGCAGTCTGCATTCTTACCATACACATCCAAAGTTATTGTGCAAGAACCATTGCCCTCGCGTGTTTCATTGGAGCAGTCGTCGACCATTGTATTGTAGGCGGTACAGGTGTAGCCTCCCTTGTCTACCATCCCAATATCTCCCAGGTCCCACGTGTCAGAGTTCGTGTTTCCAATGACTTCACCGTGTCTTGTCCAGGTGATGTAAGAAAACCCGGGGACGGCATTAACTGAACATTTCAGGCTTACTCTGGTGCCAAGTGGATGAGAAACCTTCTGGTCGCACGTCACCTCTGGCTCGTCTGTAAACATTCACATTCAAATCTCATCTTTGTTCTCGCTTCTGTTAAACAAGGATCTGAGGATATCCCATTGCTCTTCACAACAGCATATTCTATTTCCAAGATCAGGGGAGAGTGTTTTCAAATGATGCAACCTCGAAGCAGTCAACACTGGTATTACAAAGGACGGTCACTCGCATCAATGGGCTAAACATGTGACTTTCAAAGACAGGATAAGTACTGCTAGGTCATATCGGCCATCTCTATCACACAAGAATTCCAGTTTGTTCAGTTTTCAAAGTTTGAACAACATTTCATAGAATGCAGACTGGAGTGGATGTCGCCAATTTGTAGGACTGTAAAGCTCCAGAAAGCTTAATAATAAAATGGCCACTTCATGTAAGTCATTTTGTGTTTAGAATAAGGTTAGCGAAAGCCTGTCATGACTCGTAATGGGACGACCTTAAGTCTGTCTGTGGCGATAGCGAAAGTTAAGATCACATGATAATATGTATCTGTAAAATATAATGGTTTTTTTAATATGTGAAATTCGCAGACTAGGATGTCTGATTCCTCATTGCTAAAAATACGTTTAGTTCCAGTTACCTAGAGGCATGGTGCCAATTTAGACTTGTATGTGGTAGGTGTTTGAACTTCAGCTAATCCTGCAGAACGTGCACGGAAAGAATGCTGCCATGATTGTTTGTAATCATTGAACGTATTTTTATTCTTCAATTTGTTAACAACATTCACCGGAGCTCACAGATCGATACTACATACGTAAGACTTCAAGCTTCATCAAAGTATTTGCCATTTTCTGCGAGAACCCCACGTAGTTAGCAGATGTTGTAACATTGTATAACTGCGAGTGGTTTCCGGACACCTTCCCATCATCACTGAGGATCTGCCATGTGTAATTGTTAGAGTTGGTATCAGAACAGTTGGGTGAGTGTAGACTGATGTTAGACCCTGTCATCACAAGAACCGTCCAGTTGGCATCTGAAATTACCAGAAATAGATTCTGACATTTTAAATATATAGTGATGTGTTCGATTCAGTGAGGTTAGAGTCCAGCACTTTTCTGTCCACGATTACTGTATCGTTTACCATTCAGATGTATCGTTTACCATTCAGATGTATCGTTTACTATTCAGATGTATCGTTTACTATTCAGATGTATCGTTTACCATTCAGTCAGATGTATCGTTTACTATTCAGATGTATCGTTTACCATTCAGATGTATCGTTTACTATTCAGATGTATCGTTAACAATTCAGATGTATCGTTTACCATTCAGATGTATCGTTTACCATTCAGATGTATCGTTTACTATTCAGATGTATCGTTTACCATTCAGTCAGATGTATCGTTTACTATTCAGATGTATCGTTTACTATTCAGATGTATCGTTTACCATTCAGATGTATCGTTTACTATTCAGATGTATCGGTAACCATTCAGATGTATCGTTTACCATTCAGATGTATCGTTTACTATTCAGATGTATCGTTTACCATTCAGTCAGATGTATCGTTTACCATTCAGATGTATCGTTTACCATTCAGATGTATCGTTTACCATTCAGATGTATCGTTTACAATTCAGATGTATCGTTTACTATTCAGATGTATCGTTACCCATACAGATGTATCGTTTACTATTCAGATGTATCGTTTACTATTCAGATGTATCGTTTACCATTCAGATGTATCGTTTACTATTCAGATGTATCGGTTACCATTCAGATGTATCGTTTACCATTCAGATGTATCGTTTACTATTCAGATGTATCGTTTACCATTCAGTCAGATGTATCGTTTACTATTCAGATGTATCGTTTACCATTCAGATGTATCGTTTACCATTCAGATGTATCGTTTACTATTCAGATGTATCGTTTACCATTCAGATGTATCGTTTACAATTCAGGTGTATCGTTTACTATTCAGATGTATCGTTTACTATTCAGATGTATCGTTTACCATTCAGATGTATCGTTTACTATTCAGATGTATCGGTTACCATTCAGATGTATCGTTTACCATTCAGATGTATCGTTTACTATTCAGATGTATCGTTTACCATTCAGTCAGATGTATCGTTTACTATTCAGATGTATCGTTTACCATTCAGATGTATCGTTCCCCATTCAGATGTATCGTTTACCATTCAGATGTATCGTTTACCATTCAGATGTATCGTTTACAATTCAGATGTATCGTTTACCATTCAGATGTATCGTTTACTATTCAGATGTATCGGTTACCATTCAGATGTATCGTTTACCATTCAGATGTATCGTTTACTATTCAGGTGTATCGTTTACCATTCAGTCAGATGTATCGTTTACTATTCAGATGTATCGTTTACTATTCAGATGTATCGTTTACCATTCAGATGTATCGTTTACCATTCAGATGTATCGTTCCCCATACAGATGTATCGTTTACTATTCAGATGTATCGTTTACAATTCAGATGTATCGTTTACCATTCAGATGTATCGTTTACCATTCAGATGTATCGTTTACCATTCAGATGTATCGTTTACCATTCAGATGTATCGTTTACTATTCAGATGTATCGTTCCCCATACAGATGTATCGTTTACTATTCAGATGTATCGTTTACTATTCAGATGTATCGTTTACAATTCAGATGTATCGTTTACCATTCAGATGTATCGTTTACTATTCAGATGTATCGTTTACTATTCAGATGTATCGTTTACCATTCAGATGTATCGTTTACTTTTCAGATGTATCGTTTACCATTCAGATGTATCGTTTACCATACAGATGTATCGCACGGTCTATCTTCACAGTGTTTAAAATGGCATTAAATAGGAAAATGTTTGCCGCACAGAAGTTGTAACAGGGACGTTTGACACGACAGCCAGTTGCACCTGTCAAAATTTATAGAGGATAAATGGTGTCACATAAACGCTGCTTTTTAACGGGGCTCAGGATGGTCCGTACAAATGGCTTTCTTCAAAGTTCGTGAAATATTCGTTCATCAATGGTTTAGAAAAAAATATTTATTTATTAACATTTAACAAGTTATTACAAATGGCTAAATGTAATTTAAAAGAAATACCGTGAATCGTATCATTTCATAAAGTTTAGAGGCGAACATAATATATAACCTTTTCGCGTACGCCTGGTGTCATCTCTAAAGAATATTTATCCTAATACGTTTCAGCAATAGTTTTGTCGCTACTACGATCAATAGAATTCATTTCAGAGGATGACGAGGCTGAAATTTCTCAAGCGATATCGTATTTGTAAGTGGTGTGACGATTCATCGATATGCATCGATCCATAGGCTTCCCATACAGCGAATCGATACAAAGTTTTACATTGTCGTATATCCCGAAACGATACTTCAAATGGGCTACGATACATCGATGTTTAACTTGAATATTGCCGAATCGCGATATCTGTCAAGACAGACTTACTTTTGTTTCATGATTAAAATATATGCTGACTTATTTTCCCTTCATATGTGTCTCGAACATTAATTCTTGCGTCAGGGACTCTGTCAAACATAGCGCTTGCATTTTATTAACATTCACAGTATAAACCTAATTATCTCACTTCCGAATGAACAAGGAAAAACGCTGGCTGAATTTGACGCAATATTTTAAAATGTTTTGTTTTGATCTTAAGGTGTTTATTAGTTGGAGTTAGAATTAAAGATTTTAGTATCGTATAGCATCGCCACTATTGTATCGGAATTCATATCGCATCGCAGTGCACAATACTTTGGCAATATATCGTCGTGACAAGAAGTTTAGTATCGTGATTTATTACCCAAGTGGTCAACGTATGGGTAGTTGCATACTAATCTCGTATGTCACACGAGTGTCGTATCGCGTTGACCTGTGTCGTAAAGACTTGACCTGAGATTCTAACGATTTGATTGGATAACCGATGGCCTCTCAATTAGGTCACATTCTGACGTAACTATTTTTTCATACAAACACGTGCATTCATTCATTCTACAACTTAAATGCATTGTGGGAATGTAAACATCGCGAACGTTGCCGTGTCGCTGTTTAATTGTGAGTCGAACTGAGACATTATATCCGTCGAAAAACATAAACGCAATGTTTCCACCAGTGATGTTAGCCGAATGGAGCAACTGGAAACCAAGAAACGGGGTGCTACGGAGGAGGCTGTACGAGGCTGTACGAGGCGATGACAACTGACATGCATCGTGACGTCGGTTACCAAGGCAGTGACGTCATTACAGTGTGACGTCATGCAAATATTGTACTACAGTACAAAACTCTTCCGCGACCTCTTTATGAAACCGGTTTCGGTTTGAAACCAAAATATGAACAAAAATACGCTATTTCGCTCGGTCAGATACCATAGGAAGCACACTCGTTTCGTATAATTCGTATGTAATGAGACCTCGTGTAGTATTCTCTATGTATCGTATCGCAGGTTGTATGCCAATACCAGCACTAGTATCTGTATTAAGTCTACGTCACCATTTTCCCTCTACATAACCTAGCAACTGGACCTTGCTACCACATACAGACCAGGGCCTACATTTTCGAAGCTCTCTTAGCGCTAAGATAGTCGTAAGTTAATGTTAATGTAATTGAATGGCACTTACGACTATCTTAGCGCTAAGAGAGCTTCGAAAATCTAGGCCCATGCTTTACATGTTCAGGCCTAGTATTTCGTATCTCTCTTAGCGCTAAGATAGTCGTAAGTTAATGATAATCTATGGCACTTACGACTATCTTAGCACTAAGAGAGCTTCGAAAACCTAGGCCCAGCAGTGGAGAGAACTCATTGTACAGAAGATTATCACGATTACCGAGATCCACAGAAGATTTAAATCTGCCATTGAGAATCTGGCAGATAGATAGATTAAGGAAACAATAGAAAACATATCTCTTGTTGGGGAAATGTATAGAAAAGGGTCTTACTCAGAATATGGAGACGTATATTGAAGGTTGTTGAGTTGGACTCATTCAGGCGCTTGTTGGAGTAGCCCACTTCGCAGGTAAAGTTTCCACGGTTGTGTATCTCATTAGTATGGATGCTGCAGTTGATACATGACGCTTGCGGATCACCAGTGCAATTTTTTATGAACCATGGGCTTTGGAAACGGCACATTTGGTGTCTCTTGGAACCACTGCTGATGACATACTGTTGCTCTGGACACTCGATGGTTGGTTTATCTAAGAGAACATGAACATGGTCCACAATTCTTGAACGACAAACCTGCCTCATTATAGAAGACGTAAATAGCATATATATTTACTCAATTTGCTTATGAATTACAATACTACAATCAATAATCGTTTGATGTATCACACGTTCGTTATGTATGCTTGCTGAGGTATAAAATATGTTTGTATTCTCAATTAAATTAACTTCGGTCAAATAGTATAATACAAAGGGTGATTATATAGGCGCAAATATATTGCACCAACAAAGCAAATTAAAATAAAGAAACATCTCTCAAGTGTGCTGACATTGTGGCTTTAAGAGCTATTTTTCGGAAATACTTAAAAATATATGCATGCAGCCATCAACAGGGTGCTACACATATAAATACTAAACTGACAGTCTGACACAGAACCCAACTGGCAACTAAACTGACAGTCTGACACAGTATGAAATATAATTCAAACAGACATTGTCATATAATCCAGTAATTATCATAGCCTGAATAAAGATTACAAGATATCAGACAAACTGAGAGCCTAAACAAAAATGTCAGACAAATTGGAAATTTAATGTCATAAACATGCACGAAGTGAAAAAGTGAGTTTATGGCCACAACGGCGATATTTCAACCATATCGTGACTGAAATAACGTGCACGATAGCTTTCAGATGACATTGTTTGGTTACCACAATCTCACCAGACAACACATCACCTTGAGCAGACAGAACATCCACGTTGCCGGCCCAGCGGTAGCAACATCTCTACTGGGCTACAATGGTGTGGAGACATCATCACCTTCTTTTGGTGTCTACCAAATTTATATCAGAATAAAACTCACCAGATACTTGAATTTCTACTACTTCGGCTGAGATCCCTTTTCGAGGTTCACCAATCGTGACATTGAGGTAGTTTGTGCGTCTGATGATGTACAAGCCACTTTGTGATTTGTTGGTTATCGACATATTACAAGGTATTTTGTCAAAGCTGTCTTGGTCCCTGTGACCTTTTACCTTTCTCAAGGAACAGTTACAACGAGCTTTACAATCTTTGTCCAATTCTAGAATCTCGCCAACATGCAGGTCATATGTGGCTTCCAATGGCGGGGGGTCACCTGGAAGAGTGAAACTGGGTAACGCATCGAGTGTACTTTGTGAGTGTGCTCAATAATGGCTGAAGATTGAAGAGGGTTTGCAGAACCGATTTGAAAGGTGACAATAATTCACGGAAACCAAAGGAACGTTTCTTTATCCTTTGAGAATTGATAGTTAGGTCGCTTTCACAAAATTTCAAAGGATTTTAAAAGACAGCTTGGTGATGAAATCACGCTTAGCGTTTGTGAAGGAGTGAGTGAGTTAAGATTTTAAGTCAAGTCGGCCATATTTCCGCCATATCGCGACTAAAACAAGTTATAATGTCATAATAAATCGGCGTAGGACAGTACAAGTAACTAGAAAGTCACATAGATAATTGTAAAACTAGTAGGAAAATCTAACTTATCTTAACTATGTAAGACGATACAATCTAAAATATTGCTATCATAAAAAAAAAAAAAATAATAATAATAATAGTGGATTTGTATTGCGCTTTTCCATACTTGGATATTATGCTCAAAGCGCAATCTATCGCCAACAACTGAACGTAGACCACCATACTAGGAACAATGGAGACTTATAGTACCTTTGCTACCTGCGTGACCTTAGCTGGATTTACATCGCGTTTGTGAAGGACGTGGTGCCTAACACTAGTTTTAAGTGTGAACATAAACTTAGTAGAGTACATTCACTGCACATAACAAGGTCAGTGAATAAAGTATCATAACTAGCTCCAAGCATGCGATATATGTGGACGATAGATTTCCTGGAGGTTTAAAAGGAAAGATTTCTATCATACAGTTGTAACATACTTAGTAGACTAATACAATGCCTACCGAGGACCTGCAGATCGATAGATTTATTCCCTTGGGTTTGGTTTCTGACAGCCACTGAGCAGGTAAGGTTCTTTTTGGTCCGGAAGGCCTCGTCCAGTCGCAGCGATATTGAAGGTGAAGATCCAACAACATTGGAAGTATTTGCAAGTGTCCAGGTGTACCAATACTCTGATGGCATGTACCTGCCCTTAGCTAAACACGTCACAGTGACAGTTGTCCCATTGTACACACGGATGCTGTTACTTGGTAGCACAGTGATGTTCGTCTTTTGTTTCTCTCCTGAAAGAAAACATGTTGTGACTTCATCAAGATAGTAAGTCCGTCAGAAAGAGTTGTACAGATACCAGGACCACCCGTGCACCTTAACTGAGAGGTTAGAAGGTAGAAATAGGTGAGGAAAATATATGAGAACAGAGAGAGTTCTGATTAGGTGTAAGTAAAGTAGTCGAGTACGTGAGTGAGTGAGATCGGTTTATCTCTCCTCCGAACAAGGTTTCATTCATGTGTCCCTATGTAATCGTCCTGTGGATAGGACCCAGTCCATCATCATGCGATTCTGGCAGACCCACAGGAAATCGTGTCTAAACAGCGAGTGAGTGAGTTTAGGTTTACGCCGCTTTTAGCAATATTCCAGCAATATCACGGCTGGGGACAACATAAATGGGCTTAACACGTTGTACCCATGTGGGGAATCGAACACGTGCCTTCGGCGTGACGAGCGAATGCTGTAACCACTAAGCTACCCCCACCGCCCCCGTGTATAAACAGCAGATTGGGGCGCATTAGGCGACTGGGGGAGCAATATATTCACCGTCGATTCTCCAGTAGAGAAAGAATAGTAATGATAGTTGCCCACAACTGTTGTTTGTTTGTTTAACGCCGCACACAGCAATCTTCCAGCTTTATGGCAGCCGTCTGTAAATAATCGAGTCTGGACTAGACAATCCAGTGATCAACATCATGAGCATCGATGTACGCAATTGGAATACGATGACACGTGTAAGCAAGCCAGACCCCTCGATCCCGTTAGTCGCCTCTTTCAAGGAGTACGGGTTGTTGAAGACCAATTCTAACCCGAGTCTTCACGGGTCAAATGCCTGTGAAGTAAGGGGGGGCGCAAGGGGGGGGGGGGGGGGGGGTGTGTGCTGTTGTGTTGTTATAAGCTAACAAAGTGGACTATTAGAAGTGTACCTTTATGACACATGATTGAAACAGGTATTGTACGCCTGCATCCAGACTTGATACCAAAGTAGCATTGTTGAAGTCTTGTCTCACTTCCTCTGCACCCTTCTCCTATGAGGGATGTGTTCGCTTTTGCCGTGCCATCATACATTATGTTAACATGGGAACTGAAAGAGAATAGATTGAATAGGTCGGTAGCTATTACTTTCCTGTGCAGTAGTGACTTCTTTCAGTGGCTTATAGAAGTACGTGTGGTGAACAACGGGAGAGTTATATGGTACAACTTCTTTATGAATTTATTGATATGAGCGACGTTTCGGTGTAGCTACGAAGACCGTTGTCAAGCAAGTGATGTACAATACTGCAGAAAAAGCATATTGATAATATAGAAGTTGTATATCCACAGAGCTCTCCCCGTTGGTCATAGATCAGTTGTTGTGAGTGATTGTTGCTGGTATGGGATCAGCAGTTTAAACTGATTTGTGACAAATGTTTGTTTGGTGGGTGAGTATGGTTTTACGCCGCTTAAAGCGATATTCCATTCCATTCCATATTCCATTGTATCCATGTGGGGAATCGAACCTGGGTCTTTGACGTGACGAACGAACACTTTAACCACTAGGCTCCCCGACCGCCCTTTTGGTCGGGCGTCACCCTGGCTGTATGGACATTTTAACGAAATTAAACCAAACCTGAAACAATATGAATAAGGGAAAAGGTAAAAAGAGCTATTTGTTTCATATACTTAATGTTTTCCACATGGTCGGACTGCAGTAGGGATACTGTGAAATGTGAGTATTTGAATCCTGTCAACGCTATGTATGACACTCACCTGTCGTTACCCATTTGCCGGCACACAACAGCAGCATCCAGCATAGAAAATCCCTCGTTGCACACCAGCCTGCCATTGATATGTAGGAAGTGTCCACTGAAGGTGACATTTCTGAGATGGTAGGCCACTGTTGGCAAAGATATACAGCTTATACTCTCTGTCAGTCTGTTGTTTAACGCATCAACCAATGAATCGAGATGAGCCTGGGCTACTGAAGACCATTTCTAACCCGTTCGCTAGATTTTATATTTAGGTCCACTTTACATAGCACACCTTTATCACATAGCTACAATGTTTTGTCTGTTGTTTACCAGAGCACTCAGCAATATTCCAGCTATATGGTGGCGGTCTGTAAATAGTAAATGTATATACGACCACCCGTGCACCTTCACCGAGAGGGTGGAGGTAGAAAGTATAGACGGGTGGGTTGGTGGGTGTTAAATCGAACCCAGGACTTGGGCGTGACGAGCGAACCACTAGGCTACCCCAACCCGCCCGTCGTGTAAATACAGCAGATTTTGGCGCCTTCGGCTACTGGGCGAGTAATATATTCACCGTCGATTCTTTAGTAGGGAAAGAATTGTAATAATAGATGCCCATAATATTTCTTTCTTTGTTCACAATATTCCAGCTATATGGCGGCAGTCTGTAATTAATCGAGTGTGGATCAGACAATACAGTGATCAACATCATGAGCATCGTTCTACGTAACTGGGATACGATGACATGTGTCAACCAAGTCAGCGAGCCTGACCACCCAATCCCGTTACAAACATGGGTTGCTGAAGATCTTCACGAGTAGAAATGTTTTATTATTGTAAATGATTGTATAGTAGATGATGAACAACTGATTAAATTACGCGCAGAAACTATATATTTAATCAAACAGGACATGAACATCTATGTGACATCGTTTATGATGTAATTCGCTTTGTATTCGTTCTGTTGAAATGAAAACATCATTACGTTATTACGATCGTTCGAGCCGTAACACCGACACATAATTATCTGATAGTTTGCACACAGTAGCACCATGCACGAGCAGTAAGTCTAATTCCTGATTTTGGCATGTGTTACAGTTGCCATGTGTTACAGTTGCCATGTGTTACAGTTGCCATGTGCATATGATTTGTTTCTTTTGGTTATGCTTGTTGTTAACAACATACTCAATAATACTCCGGCTAAATGACGCCTGTCCGTAAATTATCGAGTCTGAACCAGGTAATCGACCACTATCTAATCTCACAATCAAATCTACATATCTTAAAGCCATCTGAAACAGCTACTGGATCAATCGAATTGAAGCCTGTGTGGGCGAGATTAGATCTTTGGATGACAGTGATTTATTGTTCAAATTAAATGACAATAAAACAGAATTTCTACTGCTTGGTTATAAACATCAGTTTTTGAAAGTGTCTGCAGGTCTGTCACTTGACATTGGCAACAACAATGTCAGAACCACTCCATGTACAAGAAATCTTGGAATCATTTTTCAATCCAGCATGTCCCTTGAAAAAAAATCTCAAGAACTTGAGCAAAACTTGCATTCACAACATCAGTAAAATTCGACATCTTCTTGACCATGAAACGACAAAACTTCTTATGCAGACTCTCATCACATCACGACTGGATTATTTTCTCTTTTCTTCCATATTCCTTCATCTCTGTTCACAAATTTACAGCGAATCATGAATGCAGCAGCAAGGGTTGTGAACAGAGCATATAACACCTGACCTGAAGGTCCTCAACTGGTTGCCCGTGAATATCAGGATTCAGTACAAGACAATTGCTCAAACCCAAAACTGTGTCTAGGATGAATCATCATGTCACGTTCTCAGAAGCCGTGTCAGCATATACCAACCACTCCATACCCTTCGTTCTGTCGACCATTTTCGCCTGTCAGTCCCATTTACGACATCATCAATGGGTCATCAAGCCTTCTCTGCCTCAGCTCTTCTACTGTGGAACGACCCGTGAAGATCCGGGGTAGAATAGGTCTTCAGCAACCCATGTGCTTGGCATAAAAAGGCGACTATGCTTGTCGTAAGAGGCGACTAACGGGATCGGGTGGTCAGTTTCGCCGACTTGGTTGACACATGTCATCGGTTCCCAATTGCGCAGATCGATGCTCATGCTATTGATCACTGGATTGTCTGGTCCAGACTCGATTATTTACAGACCGCCGCCATATAGCTGGGATATTGCTGAATGTGGCGTAAAACTAAACTCACTCACTCTACTGTGGAACGATCTACCTCTTACTATAAGGACTGTCTCTGACAAACATCAGTTTAAGACTCTTCAAGCAAAGATTTAACTAGCTATTCTGGATGACTTTTTTCTTATATCTCCTGTACAAAGCGCCACTGAGAAACCTGTATGGATGGAAGTTAGGTGCATAATAATATATACAATAACATAAAGCAATTCATTGGCTTATCCAAAAGGACAAGATATATCGTTCGAAACAGTTCATTCGTTGTTTTCTTATCGATTAATACAGTGTATGTGAATATATTGATTTTAACGATGATCCTGCCAATGTTCCCGTATGGGAACATTTAACTTCATTTCAAAAGTTTGACCTTAATTACTGCTACCATGATGAAATTTCTTTTGCCATTTTATACCTTCATCATTTCTTTATAAGGACATGTGAAAAACAAGTTTTAAAATAATGCAATTATATTTGTCAATTTTTTTAGAACGTTTCGGTTGAAAACACGCTTTGGGGGCATTTTAGGACCCTCGTCAATTCTTTTAAAAAAATTCAAAATATGAAATGTTAGAACATTGGCAATTATCTTAAAATCGATATGGTCCAAAAAAATTAATTTATCTTCACGCATAAAAAAGTTACAAAGCTTTTATGACATTTCCCCATATGTGAACAATGGCATGAAAACTGGAATTAACATTCACATGTGAACATGATTTTTTTTGTTATGCTTGTTGTTTAACGCCACAGTCAACAATATTCCAGCTAAATGACGCCGGTCCCTAATTAATCGAGTCTGAACTTACTTATATCGTGAGCATCGATCTACACAATACTACGATACCATGCATCGGGAACTCTGTCCACCCGATCCCTTCAGTCGCCTCTTACAGGCATCTGTTGCTGAATAACAACACTGATCCGGATCGTCAGGTGTGTAAATAAACTGCTCCTATTGGATAGCACAGAGCCAGGAACAACGTTCCTTTTGCCCAACAAACCACCTCAACCCTGACTTCACCTGGACGGGTGGTAGAAAGTCCCGGTTCTACTGATCCGGATCGTTACGTGTGTAAATAAACTTCTCCTATTGGATAGCACAGAGCCAGGAACAACGTTCCTTTTGCCCAACAAACCACCTCAACCCTGACTTCACCGGGACGGGTGGTAGAAAGTCCCGGTTCTACTGATCCGGATCGTCACGTGTGTAAATAAACTGCTCCTATTGGATAGCACAGAGCCAGGAACAACGTTCCTTTTGGCCAAAAAACCACCTCAACCCTGACTTCACCTGGACGGGTGGTAGAAAGTCCCGGGTTCTATCGATAAGCTGGTTATGCCAAGGGCTGAGCGTAAACTGTATACGCATATAAACTATATTTTTTAATATAAGATGTGTTTTGTTAGTGTGGGCTAAAATAGTTACGTTAGCAAAGTGAAATCTGTCAGAAGGCAGTGGCTCAGGGGCCTAATTGGCAATGCTTACCTTCTAAATCTGTATGTTTTCAATTTCTTGAAAGCCAACCACACATTCACTTGAATGTTTTCTACTACATCTTTTCGCTCCCTGTATCGCATGACTGCACGACAGTTCATGTGTCTCAACAGTCTCAACATTGCCTCGTACAGGCCGCTCAAGCCGATCCCGGTGTAAACATGTATATGCAGATACTGATAAATCTGGTTGAATCGTAAATGTGTCGCCTGTATATGATTCCTGGGCTCAATTAGTTTGTCATCGAAGCAGCAGAGGTAAGCGACCGGTTTAAACTCAATCCATTAACCATTTCCAAAGCTGTTTCTAGAATTTGTTTAGAAGTGAAAACCGTGGCAAATCTTCACAGTGGCTCGATTCTTGTCGACTGTCCAGGAAGACAACAACTCATCAGCCTGTTAACTTTGACAATATTGAGGTTGCTGTACAGTGGAGAAAGCTTTTAATTCTTGCCGAGGCATTGTTCTCATCAGACCTCGTGGCCTGTCCGACATGTCTGAGCAAGAACTGATACATGAACTCAAAAGCGGAAGACTGTGAGCAGTCAATAAATTCTGGTTACGTCAACATTAATTGGAGGTGTATGTCCCCAATCAATCCCGAACTTTTAGGTGTCAAATGTTTATACATGGCTCCAAATCATGCATACAGTTGCCCTACGTCTCTCACTACCTGATCACCGACTTCGGAACAACGGAAATACAATGTGTACATTGAAAGGCAGCATCGACCTTCACCAAGGGTACGTCCTGTGTTGCAAGGCCAATCCAAAATACATAAAATGTAACATGATGACACCTCTTTTCTGGAGGTAAAAAAGCTCGTTTCCCATAAAGCCACAAAATAACACATATTCTGCATTTATTGTTCATTCTGCTTTTGAATCCAGACATATTTGCAATTAGATCAACATAAACTCCGTTAGTGATTCTCAAATATTATCAACCCAATCTAGATGCGATGATGACGAACCTGCCCCCAATGAACCTGAAATGTAGAACCACTTGTTCAAACCGAACAATAAGATAAAATGGAAAACAGAAATCCAGAAAAAGTTCATTTGCGGAGACATTCATTTGACGCCCTGGGTATGGACAACCCATTTATGGCAGTGCCGGAGGAATACTTCCTTTAACGTAAACGTTCACCATGACATCGTCCAACATAATACATTGGAAGCCGATCCCGGTGTAAACATGTATATGCAGATACTGATAAATCTGGTTGAATCGTAAATGTGTCGCCTGTATATGATTCCTGGGCTCAATTAGTTTGTCATCGAAGCAGCAGAGGTAAGCGACCGGTTTAAACTCAATCCATTAACCATTTCCAAAGCTGTTTCTAGAATTTGTTTAGAAGTGAAAACCGTGGCAAATCTTCACAGTGGCTCGATTCTTGTCGACTGTCCAGGAAG